TTTCGGCATCTGCGATAACATTCAAGTAAAAGAAGTATCAAACTATCTGGATAAATGCTGTATATACATGAACTTCAATTAAATTCAAAAAGTTTTTTCTCCTAAATAGGCTACTAGTAGTGTTTCAATTTTGTGCGTTTAATAAATCACCTGTTTATTAAATGAAGATCTATATATTAATTTGAAACTGTTTTTCTTTGTCATAGCTAAATTGAGAGAACGGCTGGGCGTAGAAACTTGGTAGAGGTGTCTAAAGAAAGGTCTTGGTCTGTAGATGAGCCATCAAAAGAGAAACGTGGTAAATTCCCTTGGGGCTCTGCCCCAGTAGACTTTGAATTCCCATCCCATGTTATTTTTATGGAGAAAAACTGGGTTTTGTCCCAGCTAATTTGAGAGAATGGCTGGGCGTAGAAACTTGGTAGGGGTCTCTAAAGAAAGGTCTTGGTCTATAGATGAGCCATCAAAAGAGGAACGAGGTAAATTCCCTTGGGGCTCTGCCCCAGAAGCCTTAAAATTGCCTCTTCAAATTTGTTTACCATATGTGCATAATTCTACACTACTTTTTAATGAAACAGCTGTTAATAAATTGTGATTAATTGAATTTTTCAAAATTAAGTACAGTATTTGCAATGGGTTTTTCTAATTTTAAAATCGATTTTATTCTGCATCGTGTCATGTTTTGCAATATAATGTTCTATTACAAATCAGTGGAAAATCCTAATATCACAGTAACTTTTAAAATTATTTCTTAAGGAGTTAACTTATATCTATTGTATGGCTTGGTTTCTGCCTTTTTTACCACTTCTTGGAGATTGTGCGTAGGTGATATTCTTTGGCGTATTGCATCTGTAGACGAAACTTGGGTTGGTGAAATTATTACAATGGAAAAAAGCGAGAAATCCTGGACAATTTGATATAAGCTGAAAATAAAACTGAATTAACAATATGCTACATTTCTTGAGCAATCATTGAAATAACCGATTTACAAACAATGGAAACATAGAGAAAGTCATAGAACACAACCAAGTAGAAGAAAAGAAACATTTTTTTTCATTTATAATCGTTATTATAGACAACCTAATGCGACTATGAGAGGGAAAAAATTGTAGAAACACTAAAAAACAAGATCAGCTTTTTGAGAAAAGATAAGATATTTACAAAAAATGTTGATTATATCTAACTGTTGTGTAGATCGTGAGTATTTCCATAATCTTCGTGAGTCGCCTGTAATGCTTCGCAATTGCTCGAATTCGAGCAACAGGTACACTAGTATTGAATTAATTTGTAAGCAATGTGCATGTTTTGTGCTCACATTATAATACAAGTATCTTCACATCATGTCAAGTTTAAGATCGTGTTACATGTGGGTGTAAATAGAGTTGAAATTACTACGCTTACGTGACTACATTCTGAATTCGTCTCCAGCTTATTCTTCTACTGTGTATTGTTGGTAATATGAAAACGGAAAGTAAATAAAGAAACGTCTTATAACACTTAAAACATATTATATTTACGCTTATACTGTTACTCACAAGACAGTAAATATACAAAAAAGGTATTATTCAAAAGGCAACTTTAAATTAATGCTGTAATTTTTACCAAGTGCTGTAGAGTCTCGGTTGTACACCAACTTTCCGTTTTACCTTCTAGTTTAATAGTCCAGGAGCTGAGGGGGGTTGAGCATGCATGAAAGTAGTATGCAATGTTATTGCTGATTATTGTAATATGGACTGTGGTGATCAAAATTACGTATGTCGCCTATTTCAAAAGTGGTCGATAAGGTGGGGGGGAGGGGGCAAACATGGTGGTTTGCGCTATGCGTTAAAACGCTGATAGTTCGAAAACGGTAAAAGATAGAACATCGGTTAAAACGTCGTTGTAATCCTAAAAATGTGGACAACAATAATGGTCATTGGGTCCGAGGTCGTATCTCTATAAATAAACAAGTTATTGTATAAAATATGTAAAAATGGACTTTTCGTGTAGATTTTTTACCGAAAGTAGAATTAATTTGTGAGTGTCGCAAAGAAGTAATATCAAATATCTTTGCTGATAGTTGTAATATGGACTGTGGTGATACAAAATACGCATGTCGCCTACTTTTCAGGTGGTCGAGAACTTGGGGAAAGGGGGGCAAAGATGGCGGAACGTGCTATACATCGAAATGACTGTAGCTTGAGAACGGTACGAGATAGGACATCGGTTAAAACGTAGTTTTAATCCAAAAAATATTACCAATAGAAAAGGTCATTGGGTATCTTAACTAATAAAAAAGTTATAACAATAATAAGTTTAACAAAATCTACATCGTACAGCTATTTTTTTCGAAAATCGTATGGATTGATGATAAATAATAGTGTAATTACTTAATTACTCGGCTAAATATTAACTAGATGCATTTTCTTATAAGAAAAAAATATATTATTACGAATTCATATGGTTTAAAATGTAAAACACGGCCTCCAAACGCCTTGGGGTTCGTCCGTAAGGTTGCGTTATAATTGCTGCTGTTTTTAAAATAATGATTGCTTGTATTTTGTATTTCATTATACACTGAGTATATAAATGAAATAATGATAAATAAATAATCAAACAAATAAGATAATAATTAAATATGAAATATAATATATAGTAGTTTAATTCCATTGTAAATATAAACACCATAAACTTTAAATTTCTTGACCGCTCTCATGCATTAATTATATATAGATGTATATACATTTGTATCAAAGAAAATATTTACAATTTTTTATTTGTATTACAGGTGCTAAGGGAAATTAAAAAGGTACCTATTTAAATTCAACAAATAATATGAACAACCAGTGTAATTGTTATGGATATAATGAAGAGATTTGCCGTATTTTTTATTATAAGGTATTTACTTTTGTAGTAATGTTTTTTATTTCATATAACTGTATTAAATAAGAATCTGTTACATAATCATATTGTAATAACCTACAACATTATAATAATTAAAATTGGATTTGTAGTGGTAGTCTGTATTATGCATTTGATTGCGACGAAACCCCAAGTATTATATGTAGTTTGGAGGCCGTGTTTTACATTTTAAACCAAATGTATTCGTAATAATATATTTTTTTTCTTATAAGAAAATGCATCTAGTTAATATTTAGCCGAGTAATTAAGTAATTACACTATTATTTATCAACAATCCATACGATTTTCGAAAAAAATAGCTGTACGATGTAGATTTTGTTAAACTTATTATTGTTATAACTTTTTTATTAGTTAAGATACGACTTTTTACCCAATGACCTTTTCTATTGGTAATATTTTTTGGATTAAAACTACGTTTTAACCGATGTCCTATCTCGTACCGTTCTCAAGCTACAGTCATTTCGATGTATAGCACGTTCCGCCATCTTTGCCCCCCTTTCCCCAAGTTCTCGACCACCTGAAGAGTAGGCGACATGCGTATTTTGTATCACCACAGTCCATATTACAACTATCAGCAAAGATATTTGATATTACTTCTTTGCGATACTCACAAATTAATTCTACTTTCGGTAAAAATCTACACCAAAAGTCCATTTTTACATATTTTATACAATTACTTGTTTTTTTATAGAGATACGACCTCGGACCCAATGACCATTATTGTTGTCCACATTTTTAGGATTACAACGACGTTTTAACCGATGTTCTATCTTTTACCGTTTTCGAACTATCAGCGTTTTAACGCATAGCGCAAACCGCCATGTTTGCCCCCTCCCCCCCCACCTTATCGACCACTTTTGAAATAGGCGACATACGTAATTTTGATCACCACAGTCCATATTACAATAATCAGCAATAACATTGCGTACTACTTTTATGCATGTTCAACTCCCCTCAGCTCCTGGACTATAACTGAAAATCACTAAAATGACTCAGATGTATTTAGAACCAATTTGCTGAGTAATATGAAATTTAAGACATTATTGTTTAATTGTTAGCATTCAACAATACACCAGAACATAAACTATTTGCACACATTTGCTATTTTTTAGAGGTCTATTTTTCATATTTATGTTAAGTTGTTAAGTTAAGTGCAATTTATCATAAATAACCCTAACCGATTGAATATTTAAGTAAACATCGCCAATTATTGTGAGATTTATTCACGCGGCGTCACACGTCACTCGTATAATCTCGCCATTGATGATTCCATCCATTACCATCTCCCTAACCAATCACAATCAGTAAAGCCAGTGTCAATCAATGTCTTTTCGCCAATCCCTTCGAGTAAAACTGTTAAGTTTGTGGTGGGACCACGTAACTTTGCCTGTTGAAATAACGGATTTCCATTTCACTTCATCAAGGGGTTTTCGACGAAAAACTTTTTGTAAAGCTAATAATCTATACCGGTGCTCACTTTAGTAACCTGATTTCAGCAAGTCCTACCCCTCCCATTTAAAAGCCCCCCATCTAATTTCTTGCTTTTTTACCGTAATTTTTTTCCATTTTACCATCATCGGCATTTTTTACAATTTTGGGGGTTTTGTTTAGCAGTTCAAAACCATTCCGCTCTTTATAAAGGGAGTTTTTTTTTCAGAAATTGTTTATATCCCGCTTTGAGTGCAAGTTGGAAATACTCATTACACGAATCCAGAATGATATTTAAGTATCCTTACTAATCAGTAATAAGTAACAAGCTCTATACGTATGTAGCAATGTACGAACTTAAACTAGGCTACTGTACGCCACTTTTCTGTCAAATCCATATTTCAAATTTCTAGTCATTAAATTTTTTACTCTACCACTTTTAACTGCCCAACATAAAAAGGTATAAGCGGTGATATAAAGACATTAAAGAACAAGTACAGCATAAATTACAAGCCACTGAGGTGTGGTGAGTGACTGATGTGAGATTGTAAGTCAACCAGCCGATCTCCAACCCGCATGTCTGGCTTTTCGTTTTCAGCCAGTAACCAATACGCTACCTTGCTCGATAAAATATTTAATTACGCTAAAATGTAAATGTACATGTTCTGTTTCAGTGATGCGGCCGGAGAGCTCCCCTCTGATGGAGAACGGAGTCAAGAGACAAGATGTTGACCACGTGTTTCTCAGGTTTGGACGTCGGCGTTAGGTCCCCCCTCCACCATACCAGGCCTCCCCCTCCACCATCCCTTCAACCAATCACGTCAAGGCCTCACTCCCCTGGGCCGGTTACCCTGTATACCTAGCACTACCTCTACAATCCTTGTTTATAAAAACATTTTAACACTTTTTGGAAATAACAAATTTGAGCGTTTTAAAGTAAAATCTAGGATAATTACTTTGTTTACCCTGAGACACTAGCGGTTGGTTATTTGGTACATAAATGCTTGTGATAATACTATATCCGCTATACTATAGGTACAGATTCTATAGTGGCATCTTCTGGAACAGTATTTTAAAATATGTAGTTGTAAATTGCTGTCAGAAGTAAACAACGAAACAGGAAAAAGAAGCTTTGCTGTATTCAAATTAATATTGCAGAAACAAAACCAAGTTTCTCACTAACAATCTTCAGAGAGCAATTCCCAGTTCCACAGCCCAACATTTTGTTCTACTACATTAATTAAGTGGAATATTATCTCTGCAGATCTCGCTAGTTGTTGCGAGTAAATTGTTTGTAAACAAAACTATCAGAAGAAAGAATAGAATAAAAACAATTTGTGTTTAATTAATTGAATAATAGCCTACATTTTAAATTAGGTTTTTAACTTTTGTGAAACTGTATAACTAATTGACCAATTATAGGATATATTTGTATCCTTATTGTAAAATTGGTATAATTTGATCTACTTATTAGATTGTTATTATTTAGCTTCTAGATTAAGATTATATGGTTTAGCTTAATTTATTTGAAGGAATTCTCTATAAGTTTTCTAAATGAAAGCTAACTTTCTTAAATGTGTGTAGTATTGTACACGTAACTTCTCAGGTTTAAATTGACTAAGATTGAGTTTTTTTACTGTAATAATTGCAATAATAAAATCAATGTTAAGATAGACAGAAATTACAGTTTATTTTAGAACAGATTCATTATACTGTATTGTGTTATCAGTATTAATGTATTCTACACGATTAGCAAGAAGTATTTACAATGTATTTCACGTTGTAAGAATATTTATTTATGAGACTGAAAAAAGACTTCTCCAAGCCTCCAACTGTCAAACCTCGTACCCCCCCCCCCCCTTTGTACATAGACCTCAAACCGGCCTCAGGACCTTAAATGTAACATTGTTGCCCAATCAATATTCGTTATTTCGTTTGCTTATTTTGATCTCATTTGTTGAATTGTAAACTGTGGTTATATTTGTTGTAAGATTAAACTACTTATGTTTTCGAAGTATTATATTGATAATATATTATATATTTGTTAATAGCAGTCGTCTTTTAATTTTCCTACACTCATCATGCCTTAGTTTTAAAAAAGTAGTTCAATTTATCTTGTTTCAAAATAAATAAAATATTTTACTTTTCCACAAGAAATTAGCTTAGTATACGCAACGATTTCGTAAAAAATTGTGTTAACGACACGAGTAGAAAATTTAAGTCACGAGCCTTGGCTTGGCGAGTGCCTTAAAAACTTCTACGAGTGTCGTTAACACTATTTACGCGAGTTGCGTGCACTACGACAGTGTTTCAATTTCTAAAAATCATTACTCATAACTTCTAAGAGAGGCTATGTTTTCGTTTTTAATCTCTCATTGTCACTGACAGTGATGCAACGAAACATTGTACCAAACACTAATTTATTGCACCACTGAACAATTAAATTGGCCTGAACAGCTGATTGGTTGAAGTTCAAATCATTACAATTTTACTTCTTACTACTTCTCCCTCAATCTTGGAACCTCATTGGTCCGTTACCCGTGTTGTTATTAGTAAAAACACGTAAAACTATGCTGTTGAAAGTAAACAGTGAAACTTTTCAATTCTAAGAACTGAATTGAAGCGGTTACTTTAAAAAACGGTCGTAAGTAAAACCTAGGTTTAGTGTCTGCTTTCAATATTGAGCGGAGCTAGCATATTAATCCAACATTTTTCTGAAGTAAATGCTACATCTGTTTCTCGTAAATGAGATAATATCTCATTATATTAAGTATATATTATATACTTGCAGTGTTCAAAGTCAATTATAAGTCTGGATCAAGTAAATGAATCACTACAGTACTTACAGTACTACACACAGTACTTACTGTTACTTGGTACTTACAGGAACCAAAGTCTATGTTTCATCTGGTTCTCATAAATTGAATGTCTACTTGCAGTATCCAATGTCAATGATATTTTTGGTTCACATACATAAAATGCCTGTTTGCAGTATCCAGAATCAATGGTACTTCTGGTTCACTTAAATGGAATGTCTATTTACAGGTTCTAAAGTGAATGGTACGTCTGGTTCACATAAATCAGAAATCTACTTGCAGTGTCAATAGTCCATTTGATTCACAAAAATAAGATGCTTATTTGCAGAATCCAAAGTCAATTGTATGCTTAGGGTACTTCTGGTTCACTTAAATGGAAAGTCTATTTGCAGTATTCAAAGTCAATGATACGTCGGGTTCACGTAAATGTTTTTTTTTTTTTACTTGCAGTATCCAAACTCAATGGTACATTCGGTTAACGTAAATGAATTGTTTACCAGTATCCAAACTCAATGGCCCATATGGCCATGTTAAATCTCCAAAAGTTTAAAACACGAGGTTTAAACTCACGTAGGGAAAAGCCCTGTGGTGCGATTTGTACCATTTCAGATTTATACCTTCCCATGATTGGTTACTATGATTGTGGTAAATTTCGTGCAGAACTCTTCAGCCGTTCAGGAGAAGTATTTGTAAAACAAAAGCAGGAGTGTAGTAGAAGAGCTTCCCTTCGCTCCGCTCAATAATATATTTTCATTAAATCACAGCTTTAACCTACTAATAATCAAATTGGTCAACACAAATTATTTCATGAGGAGACGATCTGGAAATACCAAAACGTTTCCTATATTTATCTTTATAAAATATTTCATAAGTCTAAATTCTCCTTGGATCGTTGTGTTGCAACAAAGTTGATTTATATTTCTTACATTTCATATTAATTTAAATATTAATACCTTACCACACAGTTTTTAAACTACTTTGTGGTACCCCAGTGACTAAAACTATGTTTTAATGATTCTATCATCCTCAGTAGATCTTCCACGCAGTATTTTCATTGACTAACACGTACTCGTAGTGTATACACCACGTTCGGTAGCTACTGGTTGTTTGTCCAAACACAGAATGATGTATTCAGTTTGAGTTAGTCTCCCTGGTTGGGGCAGAAGCAACATTACATACGACGGTCTTCAATGTTATTGCGGATAGATAGAGTCAACACTCCACTGCCTCAAACTTGGGAGAAAAACATTTCTGTTTATTTGACATGTTGTAACGTTTATTCTGTATATACGAAAAATCATGTTTAAATATAAAATATGATTTCAAAGTGCTAAGCATTTAGTGAAGTCTGAGGATCAAGTTATCACGTTAAATGGTAAATAACCTTCCTAGAATTGTTATGAACAAGGCTTGTCCCTACTGGAATTAAAGACTTTCGTAGACTTTTAAAAACATCAATAGACAGGTGATAAAGTTTTGTTTTTAATTTTAAAGCAGGTTTTATCCATCATTCAAAGCGTAAAAAACAATTTACAATTTACATGTTGATTATCATGAATAATGACGTCAACTAGTTGATATATTATATGGTGTTATATTTGTCTATGGTTAAAGTAAAAGATAGCATTGATCCTGTTAGTTTTGGGGGAAAAGGAAACGCGAGGACCAGTATAATTTACACATTGACAAGATGATCCGTCTCGAATGATCCTATAAACTGTTTATTTGGTTCCTGAAGTGACTCAAGTACTTCTTAACACATTCTATACTGTTTAACAGCAGTCTTTAGTATGATTAATCTATTAAACTTGTAATAGGAGTTTAGTAAAGTAACATTTATTATGAGCATGATGTTGAAGCTGGAATATATTCTCAGCGGGAAATTTAAATTCGTCGATTTGTTACAAAAAAGAAAAAGCTGATTTGGTAATTAACTGTTGATTTCTACTAGACTGTGAAAATCAAAACCATGGCGGCCGAATAATTTTAACAAAATTTGATCATCATCAGCATGGCTGCTCTAGTTGACCATACCATGCATACTAATAATTAAATAGTAAGATACAAAGACTCTGGTCAGTCCAAACTGATGTTCCATTTGTATGTATAATGTAGTGTAATATGAGAGGCTTGCACTGTAGTCCCCTCCATATCATCAGTCATCAGCTGTTGTATCGTCTGCTCTAGTGGACCATGATATCATGCATACTGATAACTACATTGTGAGATACAAAGACTGACCAGTCCCAGCTGATGTTGTATTTGTATGTATAATGTAGTGTGGTGTGAGAGGCTTGCACTATAGTACCCTCCATATCATCAGTCATCAGCTGTTGCATCGTCTGCTCTAGTGGACCGTGATATCATGCATACTGATAACTACATTGTGAGATACAAAGACTGACCAGTACCAGCTGATGTTGTATTTGTATGTATAATGAATGAAGTATAGTGTGAGAGGCTTGCACTATAGTTCCCTCTATAACATCAGTCATCAGCTGTTGCATCGTCTGCTCTAGTGGACCGTGATATCATGCATACTGATAACTACATTGTGAGATACAAAGACTGACCAGTCCCAGCTGATGTTGTATTTGTATGTATAATGTAGTGTCGTGTGAGAGGCTTGCACTGTAGTTCCCTCCATATCATCAGTCATCAGCTGTTGTATCTTCTGCTCTAATGGACCATGATATCATGCATACTGATAAATACATTGTGAGATACAAAGACTTGCCAGTCCCTGCTGATGTTGTATTTGTATGTATAATGTAGTGTGGTGTGAGAGGCTTGCACTATAGAACCCTCCATAACATCAGCCATCAGCTGTCGCATCGTCTGCTCTAGTGGACCATGATATCATGCATACTGATAACTACATTGTGAGATACAAAGACTTGCCAGTCCCTGCTGATGTTGTATTTGTATGTATAATGTAGTGTGGTGTGAGAGGCTTGCACTATAGAACCCTCCATAACATCAGCCATCAGCTGTCGCATCGTCTGCTCTAGTGGACCATGATATCATGCATACTGATAAATACATTGTGAGATACAAAGACTTGCCAGTCCCTGCTGATGTTGTATTTGTATGTATAATGTAGTGTGGTGTGAGAGGCTTGCACTATAGAACCCTCCATAACATCAGCCATCAGCTGTCGCATCGTCTGCTCTAGTGGACCATGATATCATGCATACTGATAAATACATTGTGAGATACAAAGACTTGCCAGTCCCTGCTGATGTTGTATTTGTATGTATAATGTAGTGTGGTGTGAGAGGCTTGCACTATAGAACCCTCCATAACATCAGCCATCAGCTGTCGCATCGTCTGCTCTAGTGGACCATGATATCATGCATACTGATAAATACATTGTGAGATACAAAGACTTGCCAGTCCCTGCTGATGTTGTATTTGTATGTATAATGTAGTGTGGTCTGAGAGGCTTGCACTATAGAACCCTCCATAACATCAGCCATCAGCTGTCGCATCGTCTGCTCTAGTGGACCATGATATCATGCATACTGATAACTACATTGTGAGATACAAAGACTTGCCAGTCCCTGCTGATGTTGTATTTGTATGTATAATGTAGTGTGGTGTGAGAGGCTTGCACTATAGAACCCTCCATAACATCAGCCATCAGCTGTCGCATCGTCTGCTCTAGTGGACCATGATATCATGCATACTGATAAATACATTGTGAGATACAAAGACTTGCCAGTCCCTGCTGATGTTGTATTTGTATGTATAATGTAGTGTGGTCTGAGAGGCTTGCACTATAGAACCCTCCATAACATCAGCCATCAGCTGTCGCATCGTCTGCTCTAGTGGACCATGATATCATGCATACTGATAACTACATTGTGAGATGCAAAGACTGACCAGTCCCAACTGATGTTGTATTTGTATGTATAATGTAGTGTGGTGTGAGAGGAGTATTAGCATTGTTTAAATGGAGAAAAGTGGTCATACATTACGAAAACAACACGTTTCTCTGTTATTATTTATTCAATCTTAACAAATAAGGTATCCTTGAAAACTACATAAAATTTACAAACTTTTTTTGTCTTTTGCAATTTTTTTGTAAAGTTAAAGGTTTTTGTGAAATTTGGTATCAAATATTTTAAATGGCCGCCATTTTGAAACGGTTAATGATTTTTTAATATAATTTCTAACGATAGTAGGTCTTAATAAGGTTAACATTTTTGCAAAATATCAAAGCTGTATATGAAACCGTTTAGGAGTTATTAGTTTTTTTGTAAAAACACACAAATACCGACAGTCGGTAAACTAGACACCACAGACCCATGTTCCTATGGTGAAATGTGTTTGTCTTGACCTAAGGAATAACGCTATATACAAGTGTCCAGAGAGTTACGGGACACCTTGTATTATCAGATTGAATTGGTTAACAAATTGTGTATTTTACAAAATCAAGTAAGCACATTTCGATAAAATAAACTGGGTTAACTTTAACATGGAAAATGAATATCTAGTTCTATTAATAGTCGAAAATTATTATTCAACCCACAAAGCTTTGTACACCTACAAATATATTTCAATTTTTTTATTCATTAAAAATACAACAACAAGTACAACATTTGAATAGTGTCAAAATTTACTTATTATGTAAATTGAAAAAATACAACTCCTTCCTTTAATGTTCAGTATTCTTGAGGTAGATTAAAATATTCTTCAAGAGAATAAATGGCCATATTTATTGAGTATGTTTTGGTTTTGTTTTAAAATTTGTTGGATCTTTTTAATTTCGTCTATTTACTCTAGGGATATATTTTTTTTAATTTTTACCAGCAAACGAAGGATTTTTTATAAAACTTTAATCTGTGCCCATTTTTCAGCAAAACACATCAGATGAGGTTTCATTAAAAAAAATAATGTTGAATAAAATGTATTGCCCCCTAAACAGTTATCTGTAGCTATTTAGCTCTTCCGCCGACTAGTTTAAGTAAATTTTTTAAACTATATTTTTATATACTATTTGTTATATACTCACTTTTTTCAAATTCTGATATATTTTTAGACCCTTCTTTTGTTTAATAAGTTGTGAGTTGGGTTAGGGACTATACACATATTACGTAACACACTTTTTTGTAATTTTAAACCCTCCCACCATCAACACACCGTAGACCCCCCCCTTGCCTTACGGATCGTAGTAGACTTTAATAACAGCTTAAGCATTATTTTACTTGGGAATATGGATTTAAATAAATCATTAAACTTGTAATGACTTTTTAAATAATCTTTTTATGATAATAGTATAATTGATACAAACAAACAAGATTGTTACTTAATTTTGTTAATATTTTTTTTTAATTTATCATTAGGTTTTGGCTCAGATAACTGCCTAAATTTCTAAGTTCTAGGAAAACAGAAATTTTTGTTTGTTCCAGTGTAGAAGAGGAAATAATTAAATTGTATTTAATTAAATGCACTGTCAGAGCATAGGCTCAATTAACTTCTAGGTTCACATGATAGAGCACTACTTAAGTCCTTTTAAAATAGCACAAAAATAACAACGGTCATGGAATAGACCCTTGTGGTACTCTGTATTTTATTGTTTTAATTTTTGAGACTGTTTGAATGATTTTTTTATAGAATTATTTCAACATATTGTGTTCTACTACTCGGATAGGAGTGTTGAACAATTGAAAAATTTTCTTGTTATTCAAATTAATTATAATTTATTTTATAACATTTTCTAATATTAAAAAAAATTATTCTAAAGAGTGACATTTTTATTATTTATTTTATAATTGTATTTTCTCTAATGGCGTTCATTGGTCTGGCAATGTAATTATCAATGTGCATGATAGCATGGTCCACTAGTATTGTTATAGAGAGAAATGTATTGCGTATCTCTCTGATACTGCTTTGTGTATGTACAAATGCAACAATAACTGAAAATGCTCAAAGGTATGTGCCATTTAGCATTAAGCATAGTGTGCTAATCAATACTTCAATTAACTTATTCCATCCCTCAATTATGGGAGTATTCTAATGAATTTAGTCTGCCTTACAGCATAAAAAGTACTGACTAACTAAAAAGGATATAGATAAAAAAATTAATTTTACAAAAACCATGGTCCACCTTACTTAACTTTCAGAAAATATTGTCAACAATATTTAACATACATGATTAAATTTTTGGAATCTTCAAATACCTATTTTTATGGATAACTCACAAATTAAAATTACTTCTTACTCACGACCACAATAAAGTAATTGTGATAGAAATATTTAGTTGAGGTCAGCAGTACAGATTAAACCAAACAGACAATAGTTTTACATCAACTGATCTGGGTTGTCTGTCTTTGACATTTTTACGCTTGCTTTACAATTTTCCTACTGACTTGGTTCAATCTTTTTTTGTTTCACGTTTAACAATCAATACATTTTCAGAGTAATTTCTACTAATTGAAAATTTGTTTCGCCTTTGTGAATATTATACTGAAAATTGTTTGTGAATAATACTATGATAGATTAAATATAAATACTTTAAAATTTCTCAGTCAACATTGGTAAAGTCAAAAACAAATTGTTATTATAATCGATTATAGCCTAAAATAAGTTGTGATAGGTTGATAAAATTTTTTTAGGTTTAGCCAAAACATTTCTAAATCTACAAGCCTAGATTCAGCCGTGGTATAGGTGTATTCTGAGATTCAATGTACAGTACCTATCTCAAAGTAGGTAGAAGACAATAATTAACAGTGTGGCTGAACTCCAGACTTAGCTGTTGATAGTTATAGTTGCATGATACATCACTGCATAGCACAAAATCTTTAAAATCATTCCTTTGATATATATTACCAAAACTTTCATGTTTACAACACTTGTTGTCAAACTAACAGATAATTTAAACGTTTTCTTAAACAATTAACAATTATAAAAGAACATTAAATATCAGATGGGCCTAATGAGTATGGATGAGGTTTGCTGTGATGGGATAAAATGTGTAGGATAACTAATCTTTTTTTATATAACCATCCTTGACATACTAACATCCCTTCAATCATTCTGTAACTGTTTTGTAACTTTTAAGTTGTACACTTTGATATAAAAAAAAAAATCTGTTAGTATGCTACAATACTTAAATGTAAAAAAACACACTTCATAAATATAACCTCACAATCCTTTTCATTGAATCCATTTTAAAGGAATTTTATTGCTTACCCATTTTAAGAATAGAGAACCCTTCTTTCTTGTTACAATTATAAAAGTTATAAAATTTTCCAATTTGTGCAATTGCGTTCAGAATGAGACAACAGTTTCGCAGAGGTAAGCGTATTAGCTACATTTGCATCTTAACATGTTCTTGTTCTCTTAATTTCTCCACGACATTAAAGGAGAACAACTTAATTTTTGTTGCTCCTTAATGACTACAATTCGTGCTACTGTATAACCAAATGAATGCAACGTATGTGTACCAATTATTTCAATTAGTTCAGTATTATATCGGTGTTCTTTTGTTGTTTTATACAATTTGTTTTCACAAAAAGTGAAGATTTGTATATTTCCATTGTGGAGTTATGTATTTAATTATATTAGGCTAATATTAAAGAGATTTTTACTTTTTACAACATTTTAATCCAACAAAGCACACATTGTGGTCAAATACTGTTTGGGAAAACATCAATTGAATATATTGCCCTCAACTACAGTATAGTATTATATCGGATTACCGAATATTTCAGATTAAGTACTGTCTTTTTAAACCGATCCCTTTTTCTTTTTTTCTAGAACGCTGGGCACGGGACTGGGATTGTTTTTCACATTACTTTGGGCTAGACCTAGGGGTTGCGGCATTATCACTTACATCAAATCCATTGGTTATTTGGTGGGATTTCAGCCCGCGACCTCAGTGACCGAACTCCCGCGCTAACCACTAGACCAGCTCGCTCCCCCAAGTTAAATGTTAACTAAAATATTCGATACATTTAGTCTATCTCGCCGGGCCGCTACAGAATAGGCTATCAGTTTTGGCTTTTCCCAATAGGTGACATCGCGTACTGGGTCATCATTTTTTTGTGTCTACAACAAACTGCATTATGTCGTGCTGCGTTCCACTTAATTTTGCAAAATACTTGTTGGCTTAGTTTAATCAGTTTGTTTGTTTTCTGTGTGGCTGTGGCTGTACTGTAGGCCTACTATTAATTGCTTTGACTTAATCAATATTTATCTACTAAAACACACTACCCCTAAAATGAAGTAGCCCAAGATGATTTAAGGACATGAGTAAGCCTATGTGTTACCAGTTTCATTGGAATTGATGTCAAGTTGATTCAAGAAAATTCATTAGATTGTCTTTAATAATTTTTATTATTTTTTTTTTATTCTAAGAGTGGTTTTTAGTCAAGTGCACATAATAAAAAGCAATAAAGTGAGTTTTATTAACTGTAACAAACATTTTAGTATTTTATTGGTTTATGTTATAAAAAAAAACGTAATATTTAAAACTTACCAGTTTTCCATCCTAAAAGGATACATTTTTTCTCTATATATCACTTTTGTTGATTCACCCAAATTGGAAGAATTATGAAAAACATGGGAGAAATAAACAAACAGATGTGGTAATAAATTATATTTAACAACAAAACTTCCTCTCTCATTGGCTAATAAAAAACTTGGTAGGCACAACAAAACTATGTGTTTAAATAGAAATACAAAAAATAAATAATGTAGATAACATAGCACTAAATCTAAGATTATAAATATCTCTAATATATAACAGTAATGCAACTATAATAAAATCTATGTGAAAAATTGAGTACATGGCTGAACACAGAAAAGTATCGTACATGAGAAAATACGTAAATGCATGGCACAAAGCGAACTGAAGATGCACCGAAATAAACACCAATGGTAAACAGTTACCAACATTCGGTTATAAAAATATATTCAGACATAATAGTTAAATGCATCCCTGATCTGTTAAAATAAAAAATGCAAAGATGCAGCTGACAAAATCTCATAGCAGGTAAAAAAAATCCAAAATCGTGGGAATTGTACGAATGTTTTTAACAAATTGACATAAGAATTTAAAAAGCCAACGCTTTTTATAACAAAAGTAGTAATTAAGGGTGTAGCATAGAGCACAAGGGCCTAGATTTTTTAGGATTTTTGAGAGGATAGCAGGCTTACCTGAATGGGATAGAGTCCAAACTGGCACAGGACCTGTGCCAGAGTCCAACCTGTGCCAGTTTGGACTCTTTCCCATTCAGGTAAGCCTGCTATCCTCTCAAAAAATCCTAAAAAAAGTAGTAATTAATATTCCATATTTAAAAATTATATACGGTACCAGAAACTATATCATCATTTACATTGATTGTGATATTGGTGTTTCCTTACTACAACAGTTGTCGCTACAAAGTCAGGATTTATGTAGATGAATACAGTTTGAAATTGTACATTCTAAATCATATAGTTCCATCTATCACCACAGTATAGTTTCTAAACTAATTGGTCTCAGTATTAATGCTACAGAGTTTCACAGAATAGGTCAATTGTATGTCTACTGTAATATGGAAGCCCAATTCTACATTTTCACTCTACAATGTAGGTTAAAGATATGATTTATTTTAACATGTTCGCTGCGACAGCTGATTTAAACTCCAAATTCTGTTCTGGTAAAATTAAAATTAGAGACTCTTAGCAGATTGAAAATAATGCATTTTGATTCTATAGGATCAACAGGTTGTAACCTTTTATGTCTCTTGACTTAACCTTCATACAGTGCCAAGATCCGTAATGTGTGTTTTTTTCTTTTCAAGAAACTAATCATATTGAGTTTAGTGCCAGCAAGGAGTCCAATCTAACAAGGGTCTGTGTTACTTAGTGCCATTCTTGTCTCTTTCCAACATTGAAGCAATTGATATTTTACACTGTACGCACTGCAGAAAATGTTAAAAAATAAATATGACTGTTGGTTTTGTGTTTTGTAATGTGCCTTTAAGAAAATAGAACCAAGCAAAATTGATTGTGTTTCCCTGACCCTGAGATAGCAGCACTCCACTTTTTTTCAAATCCAAATTGTTTGATACAAAACATTAATGGGAAAATTAACACGGGAATGGTAGAGTGAGTGCATCAGCGAATGACCGCTTAATCTTGAGTTTCAACCAGTATCGGACATAGGAAAACAGGTTATTATGCTACAACGTAAACTTGAGTTTAACAACTTGCCCAAATTCTCCAGTACTTTTTTGTGATAAAACTTAATGTATTATGTTCAAACAGAGAGTTGAACAATATAATTCATCTCATATAAATCATTACACCAGTTAACAACCGCCTATAATATTAAAATTTTATAATTTGATCATCCTTAAGAAGATTCTCACGTTGAAGCTTCTATAGTGAGAGAGAAATTTGAGAGAGAGAAATTCTTTATTTACGAATTATTTTGCAGCATTACGTGAATCAAATAAAAATATCACATGGGTCACAAGTGGGAAGCATGAATTAACTGGTTGGAACACTTAATTTTGTTTGTGTTACAAACGGATAATAACCACATTTTTTTTATCCAGTTCAAGCTTTAACCAGATCCCAATCAGGTTAAAAAGTTACTTTTCAAGACTGTTTGTGATAGACTAGAAAAAATGTTTAATATGATGTTTTCTAAACAAAATGGTCATTCCAAAATGGTGTACACAGCGGGTACACTCACCCTACAGTTATTTGATTCAAAGAAAAACCAAAAGATACCTGTCTGAAATCAAAGCTACACACATTGTTGTGGATCAACCACATTTGTGAAGAAACCTTAACAAAATATAACTATGTATACATACGTCTACCATAACAACACAAATATTTACATACCGTATTCTATGTGATGTGCTAGTGCCAAAATGAAACAGCTCCTGAATACCTTTTGGTTAGAGTTGTGATTTAAAAACGTTGAAAATGTCAACACTTGTCACAACTCAACAACTGCATTATATTTTTAATGTGTAGTATCATGACATCACAGGTGTATATAAGGCAATTAAATTAAATTTTAAAATCTTAATAAATAGGGTATTAAAGTTGGTTTCATATATCGGGACTTCTTCAGCTGTATTAAATACAGAGACTAGCTTGAGAATAATCTTTCCAGCTAATTTACAGGGATTGACAAATATTTTTCACCTTCCGAAAAACTTGAGTTCTCTCCAAAGTTAATACTTTGGTAAGAACTACTAATATAAGTGTTACAATTGTCATAGCTTCATAAAGTAATATCTTTCTTGTTAATATTAAAATAATTTTCTTCTACAACAGATAAATACTTGCAGATTGTGTAACTAAGACAATGTTATAAAATGAATAAACGAATAAAGTAAAACATTAACAATCAAATGTAAAACATAAAGAAGTAATCTACATACGTTACTTCTATGAAAGCTGTTACGTAAAATATTGCAGTTAATTGCTTGGGTGCCTTGTAGACAGGGTGGCCACATACCTCCTAGAAAACATTCACATTTTTCCGTTTTTCCCAGCAGCAAAACTTGGTTTTCCCAATCAAGTCGCCAAGGGTGCCTTTTTACACGGATTAAAATCAAGTATTTCCATTAGGTCACACTATTATCATACAGCTAAAAGCCATCAGTAACAGTAGGATTTGATCCCAGAACACAAGAAGGACAGAAGTTCCACACTCTAACCAGTAAACTGAACACCTATAAGTTGGCAATCTAAGTACAGTACCGATGATTTTGCTATTGCTCGCTTAGGAATTTACGGTGTGATCAATCACACAATTAATCTGTTTCCTAACTTCAAAAGTGCCAAAAACAGAAAAAATACTAGGCAAACCACTTGATAGTCCACAATCCGCAAGTATTTACAGTCAATACTTTATACTAACGAGATCCTTCATGTTGACCAACACGCCAGTGAAGTACTGCAGAGCGTAGACAACACAGTTGTACAATCAGACCCACACTCCGTGCGGGTTCTTGCTTGTTGGGACTGCGTTCTCCAGCTGCCGAGGTGACCCGATCATCTTCCTTGTGCTACCTGGCTTGTGGGGACCTGCAAGGGAAATAAATTATTAACAATTCGGATGGTTGAATTTGAAATGTAGAACTATTGTATTTTATAAGGTCACCAAGTTGTGTCTAGTAGCAAATGGATATAAAAATTATAACTAGAGTCAAGGGGTATTTTTCTTTTAAATTTCAGTTTGAATTAAATTAATTACTACCTTTTTTGTTAGTACTGGTGTGTTGTTTGTAATAACTGCTATCTGTGTAGCCTACTAAATACATAGTTATAATTATACAGCTGTAGGTACTAATGATAAAATGAGACTCTGTATGTTGCGTCTGAAACATGATGGAGGGTTGGTTGTAAGACGGTGGTTGAGAGAGTGAGAATGAATGAGGGAAATGTAGAATTATTACAGCCAGAGGAAATGATGTGTGTTGGAAATCCACCAATCAGATTTATTTTATTCATTATAATTGTACGATGGTTAATGTTTGAAGGCATGTGACTGCAAGGCTCATAGAGTAATAATCGTTAGAAACTGTATCTAATAAATGGTCAACATTAGTGATATTAACAAGACAAGAGTTTGAAACGTTCCCAAACAAAAATCACAAATAATGCCTATGGCTTGGAAAAAGACTTAATAAATAAAAACTGAGTAGGCCTAGCCTATTTATCATCTACCTTCAATGAGCAACTTGTAGTCCTCAGGTGGTGCCACGGCCAAACTTTGTAGGTTAGCTTCCTTCATGTCTGCTACCAACCGCTCTACTTGTCGCTTCTTGTCTGCTATGGCTGCTTCCAGGCTTACCACCTGAGCAGAAAAACATCACTAGTAAATAGACTAGTTAGGGCCCAATTTATGATAGACAACAGAGATGGGTGACAGCAACAGCGAATATTTATAAAAACTGTCTGTAAAAATGGATAGAAAATTGTCACATATATCATAAATATATTGTTCACATATTAATTTTATGTAAAAATTATATAAATTGAACTTATAAACTCAATTGTAGCCTAGTGCTTTATCTGAATCTTTGTAAATCCAAAATGTCTATACGGATCGGTTTAAAAAGACAATACTTTTGTAGGCATTTACATCCTTAATGTCACAGATATGTGAGGGTATTGTGTAGCATTTTGTTGGAATAAAAGTGCGGTACAAACTCGATAGTTCGACAATCCCTATAGTTGGACACAAGCCTTGAAGACATGACATGTCGGCAGCAGCCGATGATCGTTCGCCAAGGTTAAAGACTACAGCTGGAGCTATTATTGTTTTTGTGCACACAGAAGATCAATACTTTAACTATCCTATTAATTTACATTTTTATCTAACATCACATCCAAATGAAAATCTGTTGAATATTACAAACTTGTTTACACAGTAAGAAGGCAAAGGGGATTGTAGTATTCTTTATACCGTATATTATCAGCTGTTGTCATTAATAAAAAAAAAAATACAATGTTTACCTTTTCAATTTGCAGTTGTAAATATTGCTTTCAATGAAAGAGTTTCTTCAAATGCGTGCTTATTATGAACTCTAATTCAAAGTCACGACAATTGGCGACGAGAAAAAGTTTTTCAAAATTTCTACTCATTATTTGGATTTAAAACCTTTTCTAAATTTCGATTTTGTACATTATGGATGCAGAACAATTTACAGCACTACTGAAAGCATTCACTGAGAGCCAAGTCACACTTGCAGCTACACTTGCAACGAAGATTACGGAAAAACTTCAACTTCAACCTCCAGTACAGCAGAGTAATACGTTAGTAAGTATTCAACCATTTGAAAATTTTGATCAGAAAAAGGAAAAATTTAAAAACTATTTGGAACGCTTTGAAAATTATCTTGCTGTCAAAAACATATCAGATGAAAGGAAAAAAGCACAACTTCTTTGCGCTTCAATTGGCTCTGTTCACTACAATAATCTTTCATCATTAATTGGACCTGAAAAACCTATCAAAGACCTAGATTTTGCTACTTTGGTCAAATCACTACGTGACATGCTTTCACCACACAGAAACGTTGTAGTTTCACAACATTACTTTTTAAACACTTATCAAAAAGCAAATCAATCAATTCCTGAATACATAGCTTCACTACAAAAAGACCTGTCTGAATGTGAATTTACAGTCCAGTGTGAATGTTCAAAACAAGTTTCAGTCTCAGATACATTTTTAAGAGCTCAATTCATAAGAGGCTTAAAAGATGACTGGATTCGAGAACAGTTATTACAATCAGACACTACTTCATTCAAAGACATTGTAACCGCTTTGGACAATAACCGCTACTGCTTTGGAAGCTTCCCGATTAGAGACCCAGGCTTTGAACAAACATCAGCATTCAATTCCAACTGATGTAGATATCAATAAACTTTCAAATGTAGGTACAAAACATCAGAGAAGTCGTTCAAACTACCGTAAGAATCCAAATTCTGGTCATACTTATCGTTCTCAATCAAAAGTAGATTTCAATCGCCTAGGTTTTGGAGATCTTTGCTTTCGATGCGGTAGAAATAATCACCGCGCAACTGAGTGTCGCACTAGCAAGTCACCACTTCATTGCACTTCCTGTTCGAAACAAGGCCATGTAGCCAAAGTTTGCATTTCAACCCAAATGAAAAATAAGTCTTCTACCAATCAATCTAAGTTCAATTCAACAAAGTACATTTCTTCAACCTCTGATGACATTCCGCTAGGCTTAAATCAAATCATCCAGTTACCAAACCTAATATCATAGACATATTTGACCAGAACGAACGATCAAATTTACCCGATTCACATAAGTATTTTGCTACAGTTTCAATTGATAACAAGCCAATGCGTTTTGAGATAGATTCCGGAGCAGGATTAATTAATACCAGAAAAGGCTTCCAATGAGTTAAATCTCAACGTCAAACTTGACCCAACTAATGTTTATTTCCATGCTTATACAAATAATGTATTTAAACCATTGGGCAAAGTTACAGTTGAGGTTACTTACAAAAACCATAAATCAATTGAAGATATGTATATAGTTCCTGATAATTGTCCAGCAGTCCTAGGAAGAGTGTGGATTCGACACTTACATATAAGTCTACAAGAAATAGATGATGGTTCAAATCAACCTAACTTTTTCAATGGGTCCGAAACATTCCATTCAATTGATGACATATTTTCTGAATTTTCCACAGTTTTTGACCAAAGAATTGGATGCTTGCCCAACCACAAAGTTACACTTCAATTACGTGAAAACGCTAAACCTGTGTATACCAAAGAACGTAATGTTCCGTTTGCCCTTAGATCTCAGGTTGAGGAAGAACTCAACAGTCTTGAATCATCCGGCATAATATCTAAAGTCGATGCTAGCGATTAGGGTTCGCCTTTGGTTGTTATTCCTAAAGAAAATGGCACAGTGAGGTTATGCGTCGATTACAAAACAGGCGTAAATGATCGTCTTGTTTCATCTAATTTCCCGATCAAACACATTCCAGATGTTTTACACTGTTTGCGAGGCTCTAAATATTTTTGCAAGCTTGATATTTACAAGGCTTATTTGCACATTCCAGTTGATGCCCCAAGCAGCAAAATTCAAACTATTACTACACACCGTGGTACATACTTGATGCACAGACTTAGTTTCGGAATCAAGACCGCGCCTGCCGAATTCAATCGCATTCTAAGCCAAATTCTAAACGGGTTACCAAAGACTGAAGTTTATTTTGACGACATAATCAAGCACGGTACAACAAAAGATGAATGCTACAATAATTTACGGTTGTGTCTATTCCGTCTACATGCAAACGACTTGCATCTAAACAAAGACAAATGCAAATCATAGCTCATGTGCATGAAGGTCTTGATGTTTTCATGACAGCTAGTGTCGCTGACACTGGCATTTGAAACACATTGCTTGTGCACACTCCACACTGCATGGTGAAGATAAAATGGTGGTAACAGAAGGAATCCTGGGGAGCAGCATTGACTAGCTATGAAGCTTACCTCGTTGCGCAGACTGTCCGCAGTATGACACACCATCTCCGCACCCTGCTTGGCCGCCTCCACCTCATTCTGTAGTCGCTCTATCTCAGCCAACAGACTGTGCTGCAAGTCACTGGCTCTCTCCTCCAACTGTACCTCCTCTATCAGCAACCTGCCACAAACATTGGCCTTTGAAAAGGATTTGAACATTTTCTTGAATTTGTAGGATGTAAGAATCATGATTTTGACAATGTTTTATAGTGGAGGAAAATGAACTTGTGAACTAACTTGTGAAAAAAACCTTAAAGCAATAAAGAAAAATGCTGAGCTAAGGAAAAGAAGAAAATGGTGAGGTGTGTTGGTGGGTACAGGACTTTTAATCACGAAAGGAAAGAGGCCCATTTCAGGGCGAGATAGTGTTTTACATACAAGTCGACAAACATGGGAAATACTATCAAACCCCGAAATGGGACTTTTATGACGAGTAATGAACGATACTTTTTTCACGATGAAAATAACTACTTCTTTAAACTTAAAAAAAACTGATAGCTCCGCTTCAATTGTAATTTTGTTGATGTCAGGCAAAGTATTGTTTGTGTAGCGAAAGTCATGTCAGGAAAAGTCAGCTGATCACTATTTGTTTTTGGTGTATGGAAATTGATGATTTTCGAAGATCTCAGCTGTATGAAAATGGGCTATTTTCTAATACAGAATGATGAAAAAGTATTTTTTATAAAGAAGCCTTGAAGAGGAACTAGGATAGTTCAAGAAACTGGCCTGGTCAGTAAGTCTCCGACTTAAACCAGAGGTGGAGGGAACATGTGCTTCAGCCAACCACCTCTCCTTTAAAAGGTGACAGCTTAGGCATATTTTAGGACAAATTTAGATGAAAGACAGTGTTATATGGGATGTGCTCTGTGTAGCTTTGCTGATTGGAACTAGTATAATCTTTCAACATGACCATTTCTTACAATTCCAAATGAGTCATTCGGTATCCACTTTTGAACCTTAATGGAATGATTAACTTCTTTTTTAATGGCTATACTAAATGTTAAGAGCACGAGACTTCTGTCCTAGAATCCTGGGTTGAATTCCGCTGATAACCAAACCAATTACTTAAGCAAGGTGATAAAACCATACAACTGAGAGGTTCGGAGCCTACCTTCAAAAGTAAGTAAGAGATAGGCCTCTTAGGCACGAAGAATTGATTGTGTATTGAAACCTCCTTCAACAAAAATCCATAAAAAACTAAAAGTCAAAAGATGACCGCTTACCTTATTTTATTTTTACACTGTAACAGTTCGGTTTCACAGTTCGCTAGCTTGGATCGCAACAAGGATATTTCAGACTTGAGGGTTTTTTCTTGCTGGTGGACAATATCGTTCTCCTCTTCGACAGGTCCTAGCGCACGAATCTAGAAAAGTGGTAATATAATGTTAATCAACATAGCTTTTAATACATGGTTTCCCTTTCCAGTACTTTATTATTTATGAAATCAATGAGAGAATAAAGACACAGCTCCTTCGGGCAGACTTTCAGTTTTTGTTATTTTCAGTTAAAACCTTTCAGTCACACCACACAGTAAGCAGATGGTTTCTGTGCTCTTTTTAGACCAGAAAGCCATTGTTTACAGAAAGGGACCATTAAGTCAGCTCGAGTACAGTAATTTACAGGTCAGTTTTTCCATAGCCTTTAAACAAAGCTAACTTCCCCACCACAACAATGCTAGCTCCCCCAAACATAGACTCATCTACCGAAACAATGCAAATCTCTTTGTTGGAATCACTCACTTATTTTGGTGATCACAGATTGACTTCCGCCATTTCGTAAAGTATTGTCATTAACCTAATTAATTTATCCCAGAAGATGCATTAGGACTAATTATTTGTAATTTAATAATTCTGGTCCAAGTATGGATCAACTTTAATTTTTCTCATATTACCCTTGATTGTTCTGTTGGTTAGTAGTAACAGGAAAATGCAAGAATTTTTTGCCGGAAAGCAAGTATTCGGAGCAGGCGACTATCAGAAGGTCAAAGGGCGTTCCGCATTATCATTCATTATCAGCCGCTAAAATTCAGTTCCTATCACTATTTTTAGCTGAATTTATTTTCAAAAGTATATACTCTGAGTACAAAGAAAGGATCCATAAAATCTTCCGAGCTATTAGACACATTTACAACAGTCGTTCCACCTTAGCCAATCAACAAACTCAACCTGTGGAGAACAACGCGGATTCTGACATAGACGACTATTAAGGTTAGTTTAGTTAGGTTAGGTTAGATAAGGTTAGACATATATAGCAGTATTTAAAACCCAAATCTTTTAGCCGGAAACATTAAATATATGACTAATCTAACCCAACCTAATCTAACCTCCCAGACTTTTGGAATAGGCAAACTTTTGGAGAAGCAGGGTTTGGTATTAACTTGTTTTCCAGCTAAAAATTCTTGCATTTTCTTGTTACTACTAACCAACAGAACAATCAACGGTAATATGAGAAAAATTGAAGTTGACCCATACTTGGCTCAGAATTGCCTGTAATTTAATAATATTCTCATAGTGAAATTACACATAAGGTATTAACTAGTTAAGTAAAAAGAAATTAGCTCAAATCTGGTACTGAGTGATACCTACCTAACTATATCAGTGATTGTGATTTTATTGACAACTTTTCATAATGATTTAAATTTACAAAAGTGTCCACTGTCCAACTCTTGGAAGTATTTGCAAATGCAAAAATCACATATCCTTTATCTAAATAAAAAGAAAATGGCTGTAAAAATGAGATATAGAATTAAACAAAATCGTAAAGCTATATTTTGCAGAATAATAATCTCCTGCTAAGGAAGCAACTTCTATTACTTTAGACTCTATCATTATTATGAAACAAGAACACATCAAAGGAATAAAATCAAATTTGAATAGAAGATGAGTATGGGATGGGTAAGACTTGTAGTGAAGGTTTTTTACTGAATAATAACTGCTGATGCTGTTCTCTAGCTGGGACCATAAGATGGGTCCAGTTTTTAACCGTCAATTGAACAGGCAACTTTCTGAATGTCAGCTAAGCAATATAACCTCTCAGCTACCTATTACATTCACACATGAATGTGTTTAAATTGTACCTGGTCCTCTGTGAGGCGACTGTGGGCTTCAATACGAGTGATTTCCTGCGCCATGAACTCAATCTGATGCTGCTGTTCCCGAGTTTTGGCCTCCCAGAAGACGATCTCTGCGTCGTACTTGGTCAACTCCGCCTGCTGCGCCGACAGCTTTTCCCGTTGATAGTTGACTAGGCGGATCATGTCTCGGTACTGTGTGTTGTACACACTGTCTCCAGGACTGTCAAACTCCTGCAACAATCGCAATGTTAGCAATTATACTCAGTCAAGGGATAGACATCCTATTGACATGGTGAAGCTGTAGCCAATTATGAAAAACTAGTGGCTTGTAGGGACATAAGTCCCTAAAAAGGGCAATAATGTAAAACAAATTATTCTAATATTTAAACAAACTCAGAAATATATTATCTATGTGTCAGAATAGATATCCCTGTACAAAAAAAAAAACCATATCCACCACCATATCTTTTGTGCAAAAACAGTTTGTTGTTTGCCTTTGTTGATATTATTTTCAATAAATAATTTGAATCACTACATAGGTTCAACTCTGCTAAAAGCAGCGAACATATAATTGTTTGTGAATAAATACTGGTTTATGAAGGTAGTTTTGGTCTTGTGGTTGATGGTAATAAAAAAAAACTTCTCTGATTGGAATTTTGAAAATTGTCTTCGTCAAATATAAAAAAATAATAATAAAGGTGTGTTGAAGTAAGCTTAGTTCTTGGCCAACCCCGCTAAATTAGCATCCCCTACTCAGTTAATATTTCTAAGTTTATACTCCTTTTGTTAAGGTTTAACAACATTAGTGTAACACTAAGGCATCCCATTGACCAAACTTAACCCTAGATTTTTTCTGGTCAACATAAAAAAACTACAATTAGTGTAAGATTATGTGGTGGTATTCCTCTTAAAACATGCGATTGACGTTACATATTCCATCAAATTAGGCCTAATTCAAGGCATTTAGGCTGATTCTTAACCCTTTTGCGACTGGTTAGGGTTTTATTACCCAGTTATCGAAACCAATAACGACATTAATTTTCATCATCAATGACATGTATATTTTTGGTTTGTTTAAGAAACGAAAAGCAACGGGAACTACCTCTAGGTTTTACTGTTATATGTGGATGCTCCCTTTGCTATTATATACTATCCATGCTAGGTTATATTATTTTAACCTCTTTTGCTTAGAGCAACAGACAGAACCTTTTAAAAATCTCCAAACAATATTGTTTTCCTCCCATTGGAACTTGTCATAGTACTTACTTAATTATCTCAGATTTAAAATGTAAGTAAATTTACAAAGAACGTGTAGAATAAATCTTGAACATATGTTTTTAAATAAAAACAAAGCAGGAGTTTACCATTTAATCATGAATCGTTAATTATTTAGTCAATGGGTTATTTCATTTTAAACGTAAAAAATACACAAATTTAAAAAGTTTCACAGTAAAATAATTTATTTCAACATTCTATAACGTAACTAAAAAGTCTTAATTATTATAGGTAGGCTAACGTTATCCCTTGTTTTTTATATAGTGCATTGCTTAATTGACTGGCAACTAAGTAATCCAAATGTTAACATTGAGTACTGGCTTGATGATAAATCACGATCAGCTGTATTGAAGTAAACAAAAATCTGCAGTAAATGGCTTCTAATGCTATTCTTATGGAGAACATTTTACGTTGTATCTCGTTTTCTGGTAACTTTATGGGAATTCTGCTATTTTCCCCGAGTCCCTGGGATCAAGACCTTTCATTTAAGACCTCTCCCACTTTTCTGCGACTTACCAGACATCCACAATTTTCTGGTAAAAATTTTGTCTTACAGAATTATATATATAGATAAGTGGTTGAACTGAGCCACTGACCAAGTGTGTAGATGCCAATTACTACTTTCTGCAATCAGGACAATAATGATATATCTGACACCACAGAAGATATTCACTATTTTACTGTTACATCAGAAGAAGTTTACAATTTCAAAGAACTTTTGTTTTTTCAAACAAGAAAGCCTCAGCTAAGATGTGCAGTTGAAAATTTTGTTATGATCGCAGATGTTCACGGTTTTGCTGCGATCGCAAGGGATGTCTCTGCAACAATGGAAGATTTTGCTGAAGATTTTCTCATTATCAAGTTAGCTTGTTTTAAATTTGGTTGGAATAGCCAGACTTTTGGAATAGGCAAACTTTTGGAGAAGCAGGGTTTGGAATAGCAGAGTTTCCCCAAATGAGCCACACGTCACATTTACTAAAAACTTAAAATCTAACCAGAACAACTTACATACACACTGATTTAACTTACATGTTTGTGGCTCAGACTAGAGCCTTATCATACCAGGATCATAACAGGATTTGGAATAGCAGGGTATGGAATAGCAGGGTTTGGAATACCATGTTTTGGAATAGCAGAATTTGGAATAGCAGGGTTTGGAATAGTGGGACTCTACTGTAGTTGGAATAACCCACCTTGAGCAGACTTCTCTTTGGTTTAAGTTTGCTGATGTCAGAGGCAGGTGCAGTTGAAGGGGGAGGTGGGGGATCCCTGTACGGGGGCAGAGCCCGCTGGGGCCCCGGCGGTTCTCTGTATGGCGGGGCTTCTTTGCGTGTCTCGTTTGACATGTTGTTGCTGTTTTGTATCTGTGAAACATTAATAGATTTTAAATTAACATACACATACACTAACTAATTTGGAATTGATGGATGAAATCATTAGTTTGAGTAAGACACAACCGTACACCGTATAGTAAAATACAGTGTACAGCAAAATGTCACAAATATGACAAAGAACTTAGTATGATATTTCACCTATTAGGTGAATAAGTGTTTAGTGATTTCACATCTGAATAATATTTTATCAATTTTAGTTTGTGAATAAAAAGTAAACACAGGCACTATAATAGTCAGAGCTACATAATTTTGTTTAGTTACATTATTGCCTTCCATCCAAGTTCTGTGATGTGTAAATAGGATTGGCAAGAAGCTTCAACAACTATTATAATTATTTAGTTTTGTTCATGGAAATGCTCTAGGCCAGGATTTTGAATTGTAGAATAAGTAGGATTGCAGCTAGCCTACCTTGAAGAAGTGCAGGTAGGCTATAGAACGTACAGAAGAGATACTGGACAGACAATATTTCTATAGCTGTCTATCACTTTCTCTACACTTGACAAGTCCACCAGAGGACAAAATATTCAAAATATTGTGTGTTCAGTGTCTCTTCTGTATGTTATATGGCCTGACTGCCCTTCTTCAAGATATGATATCCTCCTTATATTATGATATTTAATCACTTAAAAAAGGTTAGCACAACTGAACTCTGAAAAAAAACTGATATTTAACAACTGTCCTGAGAATGAAGAAAATTTGAGTTGTTACATAACCAAAACTACAAGACTTGTTATTTAAACACTCCTCAGACTCATGCCTTTGTTGTTTGTGTTCAACACATGAAATTGTCAGGAAAATCCACAATAAAAATTAAGGTTTTCTTAAAGACACACAAAACAGTAAGTGCTTGAAACACACCATTTGACTAGATATAGATTGATCTGTAGACGAGTTCTTGACCTCCAGATTCTGTGGGACGCCTCTCACCACTCCGACGTTGTCGCCTCGCTTAACTTCCCGGCCTCCGCCTCCGCAGCCACTAAATGTCAAAGACTTGCGGATATCCTTGTTGCGTTCTGGAGGCTGATCATTGGGGCTGGGGGGAGGGGATGCAGAATTCTTTCCTGACAAAGGACTAGGACGTTGATTGCTGTTGCCTGACCGTTGCAATATGAACTGAACATCATTGGAGTATTCACCCCATTTTGTTAAAACCTGCAATCAGGTATTGTCTTAAAATCTAAAGGTGTTGCTGTGTTTATAACATAACATAATTAATTGTTTAATAAATTAGCTGTAATGATTTAACTGTTTAAGAAATATTTCACAGTTCTGTAAGTTCACAGAAAATAAAGCACTAAGTAAAAGATATTATCAGTTTTAGGTTTCTTGTTATATTATCAAATCTGAATCTAAAATCAATGTCATGAACTGAAACTTGAATCCCCAAATGCAATACAAAAACATGTGTCCTAAGTTATCCAGAGTTTTGGCTTTGGAAGTAGTTGAAGAGAGAAGTAGTTTGGAGCACAGAAAAGGGAAAAGAAAAAAATGCCTCTCCCTAATCAGCATAGCTTAATAAACTCTCTTAACTTAATATCAAACTATTTTAAAAGTGACTAGGCTACTAGATTTTAAAAAATTAATTAAAATTTGTTCTGAAACCTTTTGCCTTCATGTTTTATATAATTAAACTACTTGGAAGAAATTACAAACAAAAAGTCCTAGAGATAAAAAAAAATTCTAGTACTTGTACACAATTCCTAGTGATTTGACTTTTTCAATCTATATAATTAATAAGCCAACACAAAATTTGTCCTTTGAACTCCTCCGCCATTTCTTAACCGAGCAACAAGTACACTAGTAATTAATTATCAGGCCTATTAGCTATACTGTAACTAATGTTGGCAAAACTGACAAAACTGTTAAGTTAGTGTAAGCATGTGGGTTGCAAGTTTCGGCCTAGTCATAAAAAAATTAAACCAATTTTAAGGTTTAGAAGTAGATAGCTGCCTGGTTTTAAAATCACTGTGTGATAAAAAAAATACCTTTCTACAGTTCTGGCTGGTGTTGGCTGCTATGAACAGAGATGGAATTATTCAAAATTAAAAAAAAATTAATAGTTATAGAAAAAATCTGGTTTAAACTTACTTTTAATGGATGTTCCTGAGGGGCAAGCAGTCGTTCGTTATTCCTCCATCGTTCGATAAGTGTAAATCGACCAGTCTTGCCTGTGGCATGGGCCAAAGCATAAACTACATCCTGAAAATAAATTAAAGACCTGCGGATTTACACATTTTAAAAAGTAAATTCCATAAAGGTATGGAGTAAGCTAGGCTACATTAAATTAGTACTTTTGTGTTTTAAATTCATAATGCATAGAGGTTGGTGAAATTAAGCTACAGTGCCAAACGTGAGTCTGTAGAATTATTATTTTAACCCTCTTTTGGTCGCACTGTATGATTTTTATACAAGCAACAACCTCTTTGTCTGCCATTTTTTTGTACGTGCACCGATCACTATCCCCACAATAATGGGCACCCCCTTCCCTAGCCTGAACCAGCCAGTACTGAACTTGTCCAGGGCACATTTTTTTAGTTGTATCAATTTGACACAGTGTAACATAAACCATTAAAAATCTGTATCACTTTGATACAGTGCATCTTATATTGATTTGTTTGTTGTATTGTTATGATTCAGTGTAATCATGGATGTTATTTTTTAAACATGTCTAAACAAAGAAATATTCATGACACGGCCCTGATAGTGATCAAGCAATTTAAATAAAAAAATTGTTGTTATTACTCCTGAGCATTTCTGTACGGTATTGTTTTTAGCTAAACTTAAAATTTGTTATTTGTGTATCAAAATTATACAGTACGAAGTTCCTGTTGTGGAAATTACTAAAAAAGTGTTGTCATACAAAAACATTTTTGATGGTAAAAATTAAATTAGATCCTCAATTATAATATTCCAAAAACAACCTAATTAGTCATAAAATAAAATATTATAGCAGTCAAATTAATCATTGCAAGACATGAAAATTATACACAGAACTGTATTGATTAAAACAAAATTAGAACAAAATTAAACAGTGCGACCCTTCTGTTAGCCTAATTATTTAGGTGAAGTCGATGGAGGGTTAACTTCCATGATTATAGCCAACATACTTCTTCATGTATATTTTACAATTCTTACCTGACAAGTCGTGGTATCTGTGACACCGCAAACAATTCTTTGAATTCCTTCAACCCAAACTTTCAACTCCATTTTTAAGATCAAAAGATATCTTAGCTTTGAAGGGAAAGATCGGTAAGCTGAATTCTATTTTGAGGGAGCATCATTCTGCAAAAGTCACTCAACATTAATGAAGGAATGCTCGGCTGAATATCCTAATCAATAAGTCACTTTAAAATAATGTAAACAAGACTATTTTAAGCTAGACTTAAGCTAGATACAGTAGTTCCCATCGCAATATTATTTCACTTACAATTGACAAAAACTAACGCTAAGTTAATTAACTTAAGTCCTGTAAATCACTGTAAGTCCAGTACAGCCTTGATAAATCGATATCCTTTCTTGATAAATCAAATTTGTGTCGTTTCCTAGAAACTTGTCATCCTGCAACGTATTAAGTTAGACCTATTTTACCTTTTTATTGAGGTTTAACAGATAGTAGCCCTAATAATTCATATCAAGATACAGTAAACCAGGATTGTTCCGTGCTCTGTGGACTAAAGGGGTGTAGCCTACAACTATCGAAATGTCAAACTATAGGGAGTAGCCTATATTGAACATTAAACACAGGGAGTATTTAAAACACGAGAAAGCAAACCAATTTAATAAATACGTTACGTAACTGAACAAAAAAAAAAACAAACCTAACTACTTGAACATTTCTACTGTAGACCTACATTTATTTATTTATTTATTTATTTATTTATTTATTTATTTATTCCAACGGTTTCTCCATTAATACAATTTTGTCAAACTATGAACTATACATAAGTAGCAAATAATAAGTTAATAACAGTGGTTACAAAAATCGTGCAATAATAATAAATAAGGAAGCTGGCAATAAATACATGAGTGAGACCTAAAAACTACAATAAATAACAACAAGAAGACTATGCCTAGTAATAATGGTAACAAGTAACAAGCAGTAATGACGGTGACTTTACAACAGGCAATAACAACAACGATTAAATAAGACCAACAAAATAGACTATGGCAACAAAGATAACAAATTATAAACTGTGAAAATAATAACAAAAGACAGCAAAATATTACAGAAGTACTAAAAAAGTGTAATTTGTGGGAGTGTGTGTGTATGTGCAAAAATCGTGCAATAATAATAAATAAGGAAGCTGGCAATAAATACATGAGTGGGACCTGAAAACTACAATAAATAACAACAAGCATTCTTTACATTCTTTAGCTCCTAACTGTATGAAATAGTTGTAGCCTAATACCGTATTTAACTAGCTTTTAACTTTGTATGTTTGAAAAAAAATTAAATTAATGGGATAATTAGAGTAGCCTATTGGGTTTTAGTGAGCACAAAAACAATAAGAAGACTCTCATTACCGTACTGAAATCGGCAAACCCGTTATAGGCCACTACCGACAAGTCACATCATCACTTAAGGGAGTGTCAAGATATCGAGTGTCAAACCATCCTGGTTTTACTGTTGGCCTAATACCTTGATTAATCTAAGATAAGTTATCAGATCTTTTGAGCTTTGATATTTATTCTATGCTTTGAAGGTTCGGCAGAAAATATGGTAGGCCGAGGCCCTAATGCATATTGAGGTGATCATGAGAGCTTATAGTAATTTATATCACCAGAAACAACAGTTTATAATCCTGAAAACACTGGTTCAAGAACTTTTCTAGGGAGACAAAAATTACCCAAACCATAATCATTTTAATTTTTTTATAGTTAAACCTAACTATTTATTACACTTGCAATTTTTTTTACTTTTATTTAACATATTGTGTTTGAATTGAACCACTATTTGAACAGTACAAAACAGTTTGGAGCAGAGCCTATTTTAAGGAATTTCCACTGGGTAACAGTGGCGCTGTACTGACCGGGGGTTTGAAATATCCCTCAGCAAAAACGGAGGTCTGGGGTTCCCCCCGGAAAACTTTAGCATATATTAAAGTGAACATCATTCATTTCTACATATCTTTCAATGAGTTTTCCGATTATATTTGCTTGTAAATAGTCCATATAATCTTACTAAATTACATACATCTTGGGCCAAATTCATAGCTCAATTTCAAAAGTGTACTACTAAAAACATTAAACAATTTGTGAACACAAACATGTTTAAAATATCCACGTAAAACCTAAAACTACATTATAAATTTCCAAAATCATAACCATAATTATTGTGGATTGTTTACTGGATACTCGATACTGTGGCAACGTAGTTTCGAGGCAATGTTTGTCCTCATGTTTGTTTACACTTTACAGTACTGTACGGTAATGGTGACAGAGAAGCAGACAAGAATCACAGTAACTCCAGAATACCTATCTGAATGGCTTATTTTGTTTTTTTTAAATATATAATTAAGTAGGCCTACTGCTTGCTTGTCTGGGATGTTTACTGCTTTAACCTTTATATTTTAGAACTTGTTATTAGATAACAATAAATTGTATTCTTAAAAAACTACCAGTCATGGTAATTAAGATGTACATCCCTACAATACTCGTGGTAGACTTAAAATAAGTTACCAGCATCTCCGTTTGAGCAAATCCTTGAATAGTCATGTTATGTGTAGGAAAGGTAATAATAAGGTATAATAAGGTTTATAATAATGTAAATAAGTATCCACAAAACATAGTATACAGTAGACTCCCTCTTATCCGGACTCCCTCGGAACCAACGTCCCCAAAAACTTGTTATGTAACCCAAATATTTTACTTAAATTTAGGAGAGCATTGTATTTAGACACGTGATCACTGGTCTCAAATTTTTCCCATGAGAACAGTCATTTCAGTACCGCCCACTTTCTGCCGATCTAGTCCCCGGGGGTTAAACCAGTCATTTCTGCCAAGTGTAGTCCGGTTAAACCGATGTCCGGTTAAAAGGTGTCCGGATAAGAGGGAGTCTACTGTAATAAAAATACCCCCGCCGCAGCAAACCTGCCGACTAAGCGAATTTCCATTTGTCTGAATTGATTTTCAGTTAAATATATTTTAATAACATTAGGATTAACGAGTACCTAGGTTTGCTGCTACAAGGAAACTAATAAAGTGTGTTTTTGAGTAAAATATTGATAGCTTAGTACAAAATAAATAAATTTGCCAAGTTTGATCAAAATATATCCATAAACAAGCAAACTACAACATTTGACAATTTCTCCATAAGAATAACATGGGAATTTTAAATTTACAATTTTTTAAATTTTCTCCGTTACAAATAATCAAACAAATATACTTTTACATACTAAATTATTTGTTTTTTAAGCTCTTTAAAAAGGTCTAAAGAGAAATCGGGATATTTTGTGTTTTGAGGGTCAAAAGTGAGAAAAACCAATTTTTACCCCATAAAACCCCCCGTAAAGCCCCGTTCCCATGGTCCGATCGTGCTGGTTCGCGAACTCATTCAAGTTTATCCCGCTTTACACCTTTAAACCAAATTTCATCAAAATCGGACAAAAATTACTCAAGTTATCGCGTTCACGGACGTATATATATATATATATATATATGTCTATATATATATATATATACATATATAAAAATTTGAACGAATGGTGTTTTTGGCCTCTGGGGACATCAAAATGAAAAAGTAAATCGGTCCCGGGTCTAGGTCTTACCGTGCCACCTACGGTAATAGCTACTTCCCTATAGGGAAATTCGCTAAAATCAGTGATTGGCTCTCTTAAGAAATCCTTTTAGCGAATTTCCCATACCGGTAACTGTTAATTTTATTTCTTGATGTGACTTGATGGTGGGTTAAAAATTAAATTGGAAATATTTAACCCTAGATCTGGCGGTCATTTTATTCACCAGTGGCGGGTATATTTTGGCGCTTTTGTAGTGTTATCATATATTTTGCCACAGAACATTTATTTGTTAATATAAGTACACACATATATATATTTTCTATTTCAGTGATGAACTTGTGATGAAAAAATATTCTTTTTCTAGCAATGCGTTTAGGCGTAGTAGCAAAAGGTTTGCAAATTTTTGGATTATGCAAATTAGAAATTTCAAAAGCAACCCACAAGAAAACCACAAAACAATTTTTTACACATTTTATCTAAATGTAAAGTTTGTGTGAAATATGATTCCCTACGTAGAAATATCAATGTTTTTTTAATACTCATAAAAATAAAATTATAGAAAAATAAATTCTTCATACATATTTTCTTTTTTGAAAAACTACCAAATTTCTTTTTGTCACGTAGGAAATAATAGAATGCATCAACAAAAAATGAAATGATACTGTACAATATAGGTAATAAAATGATCTTTCTGAAAATATATAGTAATATTTAGTTGAATTCTAAAATGTCGGAGAAATTTACGTCAGAATGTAAAATTTTGAAGATTTTTTTACAAAAACATAATATTTATGACATTTTTAAAAACAAATAAATTTTTTTACAATCAACCTTATAGATTTACAGGGAATTGTAGGGAATTTATTGTAGTTTCAGAATATGTACTAATATTGTATACAATTTAATTGACAATCACCAAAAACAGCTGTTTTTGTAGTCAGGTGACCAAAACTTTCCACCGCCAAAATCTATTTTGAACTCTCTAGTTTTTCAAACTACCGTTTCTTGCTACATAATACTCACTCAATAAAGTTTTATGCATGAAAATGAATCCTCAGAATCACATCTTTCTAATGGTATAAAATTTATTGCGTTTTAAAACTGTTTTCATATTTTAATAATAGAAAAACCCGACCCATGTCATCTTGGTCTATAATCGACCAGCGCCACTGAGAACTCACGTTTTAGTGGTCGAAAATCGACCAGCGCCAGATAGAGGGTTAAGTTAGGTACTGGATTGATTATCAAGGTTCGAAGGACCAAATGTTGGATAGAATAATGGGAACAGCCCAAAAAATGAAAGTGAAAGTATAATAAATACCTTTTTGCAAAAGTAAATTTGCTTACTGAACTTGTAGTGTAGTGGGGTACCCCATGTGTCTTCTTCAGTGGCTAACACGGAACTAGCTTCAGAGATAACGTTGGGGTTGACCTTTGATACTGAGGATGTTTAAACAGGTTCGGTGACTAAGGAATTGGGAAATTGTTAAACTTGATTGTCTACACAGTGCGTTTGTCTTTGCACATGAACTGGACCAAAACAGTAGCTGCGCGCACATCCGCGGTGGCGGCCACTGGTTTCTTTGTGTGAAAGCTCCCATTTAATTCAATGCCCCGCGACGAATTGTCGCCACTGCGGTTGCCGACTAGCAGTTGCGCGAGGAGACACTGCTCGGCCACTGTGTCCTTGCAGGCAACCAGTGGCCTCGTGTGAAAGGGCCCTAAGGGACCTAGTGGAATCCGAACCACATTTTGCCGCATTTTTATTGACGGATTGGTCTAATTATCAGAATAGTACTGCGGATAGTCGTCGTACTCACTAGTGCGGCGTTAATCCACACCAGAGAGTATCGCAACCACCGTGCATGCCTATAAATATCCACAATTTGTGACCTCCTAGTAACTGGACAGGATGACCTAACTTAACAATCATTCAAAAGTTTTGCAGTTTTAGGGTCTTTCAAAATCATAGTTTTACTAATTTAAGAGAACCTTAACAAATAGGAATTGTGTTAAGTAGTCTTAACTGATACAGTGCTTGGTTGATGTGCTTAGTGATACATCATCTTTGTCTAACAGTAAATAATATACCGGTACTTCTTCTTGCCTTGGCCTGCCAATAAACATCAGCCTGCCCACAAATTGTCAAGTCTCTCTCATTGATTGTTGGGTAGGCTAGCCTCTAATAATTAGGTAACTTACAGTAGGCCTATGCCTGGAGGAGAGGCCTCTTAGGCTAAATGGCAACTAATTTAAATTTCAAGGTTTTAAACAAATTTCTTGTTTCATTTATTTATTTATTTAATGGCGTGTATTGCTACTCATCCCAATAACTTATTTTTTAATTATTTCAGACTTAGGCCTACTTTCATCTTAGCTTCAGAAGTGGCCTATCTTATTGCTGTAAGGATACCTACTTGAGAACAAATAATTATAAAAGCATAATAGGCCCTAATGATTTCCTTAAGTCAATGCTATGATCACAAAAACTTCCCACAATTTTATCTCTTAAAAGTTTGTTGTTTTCTTTCTGCTTAGTCCTGACATTAATAATAGGCCTTCTTTATACTAAAATACATTGTACAAATAAGTTTTGTTTACTTACCTGATCATCCATCTATAGTTGCATTCAGTACTGCAACTAACTAAAAAGACCCTCGGATCAAAAGATGAGGAAATTTTATCTCATTATTCATAAAAACGTCACTAAATTTTCAGATTTTCTCAAATTTCTGTCTATTTTCACAGCATAGGAATAGGGACGGCGATGGCAGCTAGCGTAGCGAGCGATGGGCAGGGTGCAGGCAGGCAGAAATTTGACAACACTCCTTCCATAGAGTACAAAATTTGAAAGGTCAAATTTATATATTAGTACGGTACTATAAAGTATCTTTATTTAGTATATTTTATTTAATATCTGTTACTACTACTAGATACCAATATTAATTCTTAAATAATTTATTTTTAAAAGATTCAATTTACTATTCGTGAGTGTACTAAGCTAATCCCATCTCCTTGAACATTCACAGTAACTTCATACCAATGACATACATTTTGTTTGAGCCTGCTAAAAAAAACTAGAACTAGAAAGAAAAATAAAGAAACTTATGCGTTATGCTTCTTCTTCCTTTGTTTGTTTGTGTTGATAGTTGATTATTTTGCTTAAATGTAAATGCTAGATCAAATTCAACAAAGGTTTGTTATGACATTTTATAATTTTTACTAGTTTTAATTTTAACTATTGGTTGTATGAATTTAATCTACAACACAATTGATACTACCACCCAACAGATTGTTTCTAGTTTTGACTGACTATCTCAAAAATATTGTTTCAAGCAAGCAGGAAAATTGCAGTTTTATTCTCAAATTAGGTTATGAATTAATTGCTGTTAATCATTGTCATCATTGTTCATCTTCATCTATGACAGCATGGAGTAAAAATATCTAAAATTATAAAACATATAGCACCTAAACTTGAAATATCCTACCCCATAAATCGATCAATTGTGTCAATCTCTAAGCTTATGATCTTATGATGAGTACAGTAGGCAAGGCAGAGAATCCACATTGGATGAAAATATTAGTTCTGATATCTAGACCCTATAGTAAGGACCATTTTCCGGTAGACTTCCGTATCCCATGTTGTTTTAGCCAATTTCTCTAAGGGTTAGTTATAACCAGTGCTCGATTTGGGGGGGGGAACACAGTGGAATGGAGTTCCGGTACCTCTCAGAAAGATAAAAATTTTGGAAAAAATAGGTACATAGATAGATTCTAATCCCATTAAATAGATTACAGTTCCGGCACCTCATTTTTTACAAATCGAGCACTGGCTATTGGTAGAACCTCGATAGTTCGACACTTTGTGGACTTAAAGTAGATATTCATTGTGTTTCACCCCCTATTTCAATTGTGCAAAAACAGTCTGGAAGTTGCATAAATTAATGAGTCGGTTCATTATAACCTAACCTTTAACTTACCTAATCTAACCTCACTTCAAAGGACTTACAGTCACGAATCCGCATAAAGTCCGACCTATCTTCCTCACATGCCTTTTCTGACATAAAATGCAATTTAAACATTAATATTGAGGTTGGGTTAGGTTAGATTAGATTAGATTATGTAACATCATTTATTAGTTGCTGATATAAGTGGATTTATTCACTGTGGCACGTTTTCACTTTTAGGCACAATGGGATTATGTACTATGGAATTATGTACTATATGGCACGTTCATTAACAGACGTTGAGGAATGAGGATTGGAATGAGGACGATCATGTCGGCAGTGGCCTAGCTTCTATTACTGATATTTTACATGAATTAATTCTATTTTGTTATATAATTTATGTTGATGTGATTAATAGTTTATGTAGGCCTACCGTAGTTGATTTATTGTATTTTATAAACAGCACCAAAAAGTCCATTTTCTTTTAAAAATATAGTTATTGCATATGTATTGTAACTCTGATTTTGCTCTCATGGCATCGTGTGTGGTTTTGTCTGTTTAGTATCAAATGTAAACAACTGACAGCTGTTTCCACTCCACAAACCTTCCACCCCTTTTAGTGTTAGTTGCCACCAGAACTTGGACTCGTCCATACCACAAATATGTTAATAAATCAACAAAACTGAAGTTTAATATTAATTATTTAACAGTACGGCTACTTAGGAATCTCTCCAACAAAAACTGATTGCATTTTTGGATTCAGTGTTAAAAATACTGTAAGTAGACATCTAAAAATTACATGATATCGCATTGTAGAAATACCAAATAATTACCCCTTACCGTATATTTATGGAATAGAGGTTTAATATGTGTCCGTGAATGCAATAACTCAAGTCATTTCTGACCGATTTTAATGAAATTTGGTTTAATAGTGTATAAACTTGAATGAGTTCACGAACCAGCATGATCGGACCATGGGAACAGGGTTCTACGGGAGGTTTATGGGGCAAAAATTGGTTTTTCTCATTTTTGACCCTCAAAACACAAAACTTTGCAATTTCTCTTTAGGCCTTTTAGAGAGCTTAAAAAAAAACAAATAATTTAGTATAGGCCTATTAAAGTGTTTTTGTAGGTACTTGTAATGGAGAAAATTAAAAAAAAAATTAAATTTAAAATTCCTATGTTATTCTTATGGAGAATATTTTAAAATGCTGTAGTTTGCTTGTTTATGGATATATTTTGATCAAAATTTGCAAATTTATTTATTTTATAGTTATAGGCCTACAGTCAAGGCCACACAAAAAAAACAGGCCGTAATGCTCGTCAAGCATGATGTCACGATAGAAGACGGCAATGACAAAATGTTTGCCGTTTGTGATCAGCTGCTTGTTTTAATCTTTCCTTGGAAAATAAATACCTACATCATTGCCGTCTTCTATAGTGACGTCATGCTTGACGAGCACTAAGGCCTGTTTTTTTAGTGTGGCCTTGCTACAGTACCGGTACTAAGCTATTAATATTTTAAAGACAAATGGAAATTTGCTTAGTCAGCTGGTTTGCTGCGGCAGGGGTATTTTATCTTTTGGAATAGTTGATTAAACGACGAGACAATTTCAAAAATGCAAATGGAAGGTAGTCCCGAATCCATCAGCCAACCTGAGCTTGCCAGACAAAGTGTCATTAACTTATAGATGCCCCACATTATACAGCAACGTGATATCAACTGTCCCTATTGTAAATAAATTTAATACAACATAAAGTTTACTTCGTGAAAACAATTTCTGTTGACACTTGCCTATTCAAATGAAATTCAATGCAATTTCATAAATGTGTTAATAAATCCTGAAATTTACTTTTTCAGATATCTTCAAATATTAAACTGAACCATTCTCAAAAATATTTTGGCTGGAAGAGTGTTTAGTGCAATATGGTGGCGATGTTGCCACCAAATACTTCTCTCAATACCATACTTAGTTTGCTGTCATCTTCATTTTTACCTGAACGGCATTATGATCTGGACCGACCTTTGGAAGATGAAGTATTTAAGGATCACATTAAAATGTGTGAAGCTAATTTAAAGAAAATTAACATGTACCTAGAAAAGGAAAGTGATGAAAAAAGTTTGAACAAGAAATTTATTGTTAATGCTATTCTACTCTGTGGTGAACATTCGAAAGTAGAAACCTGGACTAGTTCTCAAACTTTGGCTCAAGCTGAACTGTTGGTGAAGATGCTTCTCGCAAAAAGTAAATGTATAAGTTTATCAGACTTGCTGCTACATTGTAAAATTGATACTTTTCTGGCTGAGTTGAGGCCAAAACTCTTGAAAGATTCATGGAAAAATAACCCTGCAGCGGTGACCAGTTTTATTTGGATTTTGTTCCACATTAAGGTTTGATTTTTTGACTGTTTTTTTCTAAGTATCTAAACACCTTTTTGATGCTGGCATGTAATTTGTTTTAGTAGAATTATTTTATAATGATAATAAACTACTAGGTTAACAACTTTTTAGAGAATTTCCCATAGCCTATAGGGAATAAGCTATTTTCGTAAGTCTTATGGTAAGACCTGGACCCGGGACCGATTTACTATTTGTTTTAAAGTCTCCAGAAGCCAAAAACACACTTTATACTTTATACTTTTCTTTGAAATGGCGACCATACGAGGCTTGTCCAGAAAGTAAGTACCGTTTTGGAAAAAAAACATCTAGCCTAGATAATTTTTTTCAATAAAATTTATTCCTACAAGAAAGAGGATACCTTAAACTATTTTCTATATAGTTTCCACAATTGTTTAGACATTTGTTTTAGTGAATAGTGAAGAACCAACTTTTCTATACCCTCTTCACAGAAAGATGCCGCCACTGAAGAGAAACATTGCCGTAAGCATTTTCGGAACCGATTCCTAACTTTTGATTTTTCTACATAGGGAAACAATTGAACTTTATGATAATAGTGTCATTTGGTTTCTGGATTAATCTTGGAATTTGTAAATAAAGTTTACTTTTATTTATTTTTTTTCATAGGCCTAATTTTATTTTTGTAAAAGTTTTACACTTTTATAATGTAAAAAAAATTGTTCGTAGACAATTTCATTATGAAGAAAATTGCAAATAAAGAGTTATTGATTTATTACCGGTATCTAAGATTTTCTTTTTATAACAATTAGAGTAAACGTCTTTAAATTTTGTAAAATTAATTATTGATAGAGGGAACTGCAGGCAGCACATTAATTCCTTACCCAATGGGTTAAATAGGCATATATGGGTTGTTTTTTGAGACAAAAATTTAATTTTTGCAGTGTCCACACTTGGGGGATGTACTGAGCAGTGTGATGCCAACAAGTCTTCTTCTAGTTGACGATCACGTTCATAGCAATAAGATCAAGGGGCTTAAATGTTTGGAACACTTAGCCAGCAATGTGGTTTGTATTGAATTATTGTTGTGTGTTTTAATGCCAAAGACAATAAGAAATATTTTAGGATGACTATACTAACGCTGGTCTTGTTATTCTCTATCACTGATCGTTGATGAGTAGTCTAATCTCATAGAATTAAATATAGATTGAAAATTAATTAATTTTTGGACCCAATGTTTCTACTTTGTGCCCAAAACGTGGTTAGTTTGCTAACCATTTGTTTCATACCATATATTATTAGTATATTTACCTTCTCTTAAGAGTATAACTATTCTTTGTAGGATTTGTGCAAGGGAGATGTGCTTGACAATTTATTTTAACAAAACATTCTAGCTCCCGTACTTCCAGGCAAATGTCCCAGGATGGAGAAATAGGTTTCGAACCTCTATTCCAGGCACATATCGTGGCACTTTTTTTTGGTAAATTATTTGTCGTAATGAAAAGTGTTTAACATGATACATTTCACATTTACCAAAGGGTATGGTAAAATTTAAAATCCCAATTATTCTGAATATGTTTATTGAAAAAAAGGACTGTCCTGAAATTTTGGCAGTAGGAAGAATTAGAGTAGAATCGTCTTAATGCCAGAAAATTCCACACTCAATTGGCATCCAACTTTTTTGTGTATGTGTCTTATTTTTTGTTAGCAATGGACTTCCGAAATAAACCCTGCAAGATCAAATTTTTTTATGTTATATTTTAGCCTTGAGGTATATTTTTTACTGAAATTAATTCCACTAAGTTAAATGTTACTGTACTAAATAATACGTTAAGGCTTAGTAGCGTGATTAATAGTGAACTGATGTTTATAAGTTCTAAAGGGTTACAGGTCTAATGACCCCATTGTTAGGTCTTGTTGAACTTTTGTTATTTAAGGGGATTCGCCACTGAAAATAGGTAAAAATCATGAAAAATTGTAAAAATGTTTTTTTACATTTCTTTGTACATTGGACCCTATTACATCCAAAAAGTATGATATAATCCATGTATGAATGTTATTATATGTTATAACCAAGGGGTTTCGCTCTTTACGATAGCTACAAGATCATAGGACACCTTCTTATTGTAACGGGTCAAATGTGTAGGGGGTAAAATAACGGCGATACCACGAAACTTAAACAGCTGAAAGTAAGCTGTTGTTGTGCCCTAGTCGCGACGCTAAACTGACATCGCACCTAACCTCCAATTCCAAGACAGCAGACGACGCTGGTGTCCGTTTGGTTGTTTGGTTGTTCGACTGCGTCTGAGGGCGGGCTACGGGAGAGAATAAGAGCAGCTGATCCACCTTGTGAGCAAGGCAGCTATAAAGCATGTTAAAGCTGTCATACGCCTGCCTTTGCTGACACGGGACTCAGCTGACTCTGTTTGTGCTGACCAATCAGGAAGCGTTTTAACTTTCGTCTCGATTCTGAGACGAAGGTGAAGGAAGAAGAAGAATGGAGGAGAAGAAATGTCATTCGTATTCCCGGCTTTTCGCGAGTTCGTCCGTTCGCCTTGAATTCTAAGTGATTTCGTTCAATTTCTTCGTCGTTTTTAAAGTTACGTTTCGGCAAGCTCTGAAAGCTTAAGTTCGAATAGTTTTGTAGTGAACTTGTGCAGGAACATAGTTGGTTATAATTTCGTCGACTGGTGAGTTTCGTAGTTAACTTCTCTGGTTTTCGTATATTCCTTGACCAGCTTTCGTGTACGAAGCTTGGTTGAACTTGAAGACTAGGCCTGATACGCAGACCTAGTCACACGCCTTAACCAACTAATTTAGTAAAGTATTGCAGTTGGTGAAATATATTTTCGCTTAACGTTTCTTAATCCGTCTTGGGACTTTCTTTTTAATTTGTAAAAACCCTTTTTAAAGTCCCCCAAACGTCCCAAAGCTTGTTCCAGCAGACAGGTTTCTGCTGGACATTTTCTGTCGAAGTTGGTTTAAGTTGAACACGTGAGGAAGTTAAAGTTTTAATTTTTCGTTTTTGGCTCAAGGAGCAGTTTTATTTTTAGTTTCAGTTTTTCTCTCGTTTCGTGTCTCACTTGGACAACTTAAGCCAACTCGTTTTCTTGTTTAGTAAATTCAGACTCTGTGGGAGTTAGGCTAGGTTAGGCCTATCTTGTACTAACCTTGCTTGTTTCAGGTTGACGACGTAACTCCGTAGGTAAGCGGAGTGACTACTTAGCTTACTTGTTGATTCGTTAAGTTAGCTAGTAGTGTGTCATTTAGCTATTTGCCCACAGAGTCAAGTCAATTATCATTTATTTCCCCACAAGCCCTAGGCTAGAGTGGTGATTTCGAGTAGGGTGTTTAGTAACCCGCAACGTTCGTCTCGAGCTCTGACAACCAGGGCTATCAAATTTAGGCTATCCGAATCACTATCGACTCCTGGGAAACTCCCCGCGACCAGACTAGGGCGAATCCTGGGATCCTCGTTTTATTACCGGTGGCGTAATTTCCCACTTGTCGTCCGCCAGGAAAATTACGTCACATTATTCAAACGCGGTTATGCGCAACATTGAAATTTCACGTTTTTCAATACAAAATTTGATATATCTTGAGAGCCACTAAAGGTACATTGTTGAAGTTTTTACTACATATTCTAGACAGTATTAGAAAAGTATTTTGGTAGAATTAGGTATCTAAGTTAATTAGGTACTGAACAATAACGTTTTTTTCAAACTTATTCTTTTTTCTGAAGAAAAATTATATTTAATGTGTCAGCAAAAAAAGTATCTGAGATATTATTATGAATCTACCTAAATTTTAAGTTTGGATAACTGTCTTTAAAAAAACACCAAATTTATCAAAATCCATAAAGAACTCTCTTCAGAATATCAATTTTTAAAACCCCTTACAAATTGATCGAAAAACCTCTATTTTATTTTTTTACCGCCTATAATTTATATTTAGAAGTAAACCAAAATTTTTCCATTTTTTGTTAAACTATACCCTACTAGAAAAAAAATAGTTTAACGACTTTCCTCATTAAATAAAAAAATGCACCCTTTTCAGTGGCGAATCCCCTTAACAAAAAAATCTATTCATTTAATTGTAATACGTAAACAGAATTTGCTTAACATATCCTTAAATGTTAATTTAGTTCACGAAACTGAAGACAAACATCAACGTTTGTGTAGTATTTACTATCCATAGGCCTATTGCATAACGATATGATTTATTTGTCATCAACAGAGGTTTTCATTTTCTTGACAAAAGGATATCAATAAAAATTTGCAACAGCATCATGGGCCTACTTGCTTTAATAATACTTTCACTATAAATGTTGCCTTAGATTCTGTCTCTAAAAATATACAAGTATAAAGAACAATAACGCAGGGGCCAATATAAGCCCCCCTCCCCTGTAATAATGGATATGAAGAAAAATAGGTACTATAATATGAACTGTTTATCATGAATCATGTGCAAAGTCATCGCCGTGTGGCAGACAGTGATAATTTGTGCGAGTTCAGGTTAATTCAGACCCACTCAAGCTCCCGCCTGCCGCCCGGCTATCTTCGCTTTCAGCATATCTACCGGCAACAGGGGAGGGGAGTAATGAAGAGTTCAGTTAGTTCAGTGGTTGCAATTGTTATATTTATTTACATATGTTGTACTGAAATGTTAACGTTTTGCAGTTTGCACAAAAGAATGCTTATACAGTAGTTAGAACCCCTCCAAATGTGATTATCACAATCGCGTATTTAACTCCTTAGTCCTTAGGTTCGGATAAGTGTTTACAGAATCTGTATCACACTGTTTATTCTTGACCAATGTTTTTTGATTTAGTAATTGAGATATTTTCTTCATTTGGCCTGAATAGATACATTTTTATGATTTAATGGAGCAGTATAATGATACAGCGTGATCTTGGTAAATTAATACCCCCGCCGCAGCAAACCTGCAGACTTAGCGAATTTCCATTTGCCTGATTGGATTTAAACTAAAATGTCTCCTTAAAAATATCACATTTATTCCCTATTTAAACAGAATTAGTTTAATGAGTACTTAGGTTTGCTGCAACAGGGAGGGTGAAAAGGTTTTTTTTATGTAGAATATTAAAAGTTACTGTGGTTTAGTAAGAAATTAATGTATTTTCCAACTTTTATCAAAATATGTTCATAAACAAGCAAACTACAACAGTTGACTTATTCTCCATAAGAATAACGTGGGAATTTTAAAATTACAATTTTTTTGAATTTTCTCCGTAACAATTAGGCGCATAATAATACTTCATTATACTAAATTATTTGTTTTTTTAAGCTCTACAAAATGGTTTAAAAAGAAATTGCGAAATTTTGTGTTTTTAGGGTCAAAAATGGGAAAAACCTATTTTTACCCCATAAAACCCCCCATAAACCCCCGTTCCCATAGTCCGATCATGCTGGTTAGCGAACTCATTCAAGTTTATCCCGCCTTACACCTTCAAACCAAATTTTATCAAAATCGGACAAAAATTACTCAAGTTATCGTGCGGATGGACACATATATATATATATATATATATATATATATCTATACAGTAGAGTCCCGCAAACTCGGCACTCGATAACCCGGCAGTCTGGATAACTCGGCCATCACCTGCTCAGAAAATTAGTGATTTTTTGAGTCCGAGTTAAACATGGACTCAAGCCAGCTCAAGTCAAATCATTCTCAGCTCGTACAAATGATTTGTTTTACTATATCTGATGACTTAATACTAACTTGTAATATAAATATAAATTAAAGAAGTAGTTAATAAGATTAAAAATTGTATTGTTCTTGTTTTTAACCCTAGTTCCTGATAACCCGGCATTTCACAAACTCGGCACCCTTCCAGTCCACATTACGCCGAGTTTGCGGGACTCTACTGTATATAGATATATAAAAATTTGAACGAATGGTGTTTTTGGCCTCTGGGGACATCAAAATGAAAAAGTAAATCGGTCCCGGGCTTAGGTCTTACCATGAGACCTACGGTAATAGCTACTTCCCTATAGGGAAATTCGCTAAAAGTCACATTTAGTGCAAATTACCGCAGCAAAACTGAGATAAAGTATCATGGTGTGTCTACTTGAAATTACTTAACCTAACCTTAAATTAATCTCTGACCCCCCCCCCCCAAAAAAAAAAAAATATTCTATATCCGCCACTGCAATAATGATTGGTTTGTGTTTTATTACAAAACTTCTTTTCATAGACAGCACTTGTATTGCCAATTAACACACTGTTTGTACAATATTCCAGAGCCGTGCAGAGCTAAGCCAGTACGGCCGAGGCGAGGTAATCTACAACGCCCTGGACCACATGATCTATCTGAGGGAGCCTGAGATAATTCCTCATCTTGCTGCATGTTTGACTGTTTTGTTGGCCAAAACTGAACGCTCATCTACTACTGAGAACCTTTCTGTGAGTTACCTTTTCTATTTTTTGTTGAACTTTCGACTTTCAATAAAACTCGACATCCCATTCTCATATAAAAGCTGTAGCAAGCTAAAAAAGGGAATGTTGCTGAAAGTCAACAGTCCCGGAAGATCAAATAATTTATACCTGTGCCGCTAGGTCAAGAACTACAATGTTTGCAGTGTCTGTAGATCAAAAGTTCCAGTAAGTCAAATAGTACAGTCCGAGCTAAAAACGTGGTCTATGTTAAAGCAATTGACTTATTGGGAATTTGACCTAATGCAACAGCAGTTTTAATATAACGAAATAAGGTAAAATACAAGTTCAGTTTCGCTGAGTCAACAGTGCCGGAAGATCAAAAGCAATAAAAGTGAACGTCGATTCAGTGTAAAGTAGACCTTTTGCAACGCTTACTACACCAACAAAACTCGCTTTTAGTTACTTCGTGTTTTGTCATAATTAGAATAGAGCTAAAATTATCATATTTGGTACATAGCTTATCTATTAATGCTTCTTGCCAACTGTTTGGTCAACACTGTAAATAGGTATAGTTTATGTAATGAAAAGCCTTTCGTCAAAATTTGTGGCATAAAATACACGCAAGGACGATCTGAAAATTTCTGGTTATTATATACGTTTGTAAAAGGAGATCCATTTAATTGTAGAACTATTTTATGAGTTATAATGTAGTCTACATATAAACTGTGTAAATATTACGCCTCGGAAAGGTTGAAACCTGTCCAAACTATCATATTATTAAAACGTAAATGTGATTTTTTCACGATTCTGAATCAACCAGACGATGGATTTTCATTAGTTTTGTGTTGAAAGAAAGATAATTTTGAGAACTAGGGAATGTCAAAGCCATAATTATAATTAAGGGTCCCAGTTTTTTAGAAATTAAGTTTTATTTTTAAAAAGTCTAGCAGCCGACGCCAACCTTCTAAGCCAGCTTTTAGTACAATATAATTTGCTTAACATAACAGCTGTAAACATTCAGCATCTGTGACACAAATTCAGCATTTGGAAACAAATTTAAAGATATATTTAGAGTTGACTTATTTATACTATGTGTAATGCTGACCATTGATACATTCAATTCTTAGGTATGAGGATGGCAGATTAATTAAATATGCATAGTAAAATAAAAGGATGTTCAAATTATTTTTTAAAGGAATCTTTGTAATCATCGATTTGTTTTAGTCCCATATAATTTGTTTTAACTAACAGCTGGTTGAATGTAATATTGTTCTTTATAACTATTAGGTTTTTGGAGAATTTCCCATATAGGGAATAAGCTATTACCGTAGTACTTATGGTAACACCTGGACCCGGGACCGATTTCATTTTTCGTTTTGAGCTCCCTAGAGGCCAAAAACATCATCCGTTCAAATTCATATATACAGGGTGATCAACTCAAGGAGGCCACCATTGGGAAATCGGAAACGGTAAGAATTAGAGAAAACATTAAATGGGGGACATTCGTTTATTTTTTGTGTCAGTTAAAAATATGATTTTAGTTTTTTTATCATGTTTTCGGATAGAATATGCAATTTCAAAACTTTTTTAGCCTTGACCCTTTTCGATTAACCCACTCGTTTAGGAGTAAAGCCTATGGGAAAATGACTTCCGGTGTACATTTTACATCATGTAGCTCCTAAACGAGTAAGTTTAGAGCAAAATTGCAAAAAGTAAATTAGTCTTAGAATTGCATCTACATTCCTTAAAGACTATAAAGACTATTTTCCACTTTTCAAGTTTGCTGCCATTTCTTAAATAATCTAATTCATATTTTTTATGAATTTTATGGTCTTTTTGGAATGTGGATGCAATTGTAAGACTTTTTTACTCCCCGCATTTTTGCTATAAACTTACTTGTTTAGGAGCTACATGATGTAATATGTACACCGGAAGTCATTTTCCCATAGGTGGTAACTCCTAGACGAGTGGGTTTATCAAAAAAATTTCAAGGATAAAAAAGTTTTTAAATTGCCTATTCTATCCGAAAACATGATAAAATATAGGGTTCGATAAGAAATTTCAAATTTGGCCGCCATTTTGGAAAATGGTGGCTGAATTTCAAAAAACTAAAATCATATTTTTAACTGCCACAAAAAATAAAGGAATGTCTTCCATTTTGAGTTTTCTCTAATTCTTACCGTTTCCGATATCCCAATGGTGGCCTCCTTGAGTTGATCACCCTGTATAGCCTATATTTATTTATTTATATATTTTTCCCGGGGGGAACCCCAGGACCCCCCTCCTTTTTGGGGGGTATTCCATACCCCCCAGGCCCCCGGTGACCCCCCCAAAATATATGTCTAGGACCGCCCTTGTCTTCTTTACCTATAAAACACATGGGATACAGCCTTTCTTCACCGATCACGTAATGTGTGATTTTCTATAAAGTCTTGGAAAAATAAAAGGTAAAATAGATAGAATACAGGTGTACTGTATGTGGTTTACACACAAATATTCATCAAACTGTGTGATATTTTGTTATTGCAATGAACAATTTGGGAGTATCGTATTGTTTAAGTCGATGGAAAATCTTTGTTGATCCTGTTTTACAAGCAAACCAAAAATATACAGTGGTCACCACTCTATGCGACATATTCTAACCAGAAAATTGTAATCGTATGATTCTATAAGCATTGGTAGGATTGCAAAGTACTACACAAACATTATTTCAAGGGTAATAACAGTCACAATTTCCGCCGACTTTAAAAGAGTCAACTAAAATATTATACTAATGGACACACAACTAAATAGAACAACTAATGGAACAACTCACGATGTACATATAACAGTTCGATATAAGCATTGAGTATACACGTCAGTGGATACGTGTATACCCAATGATATAAGCAACGGCGCAACGGTTCTTGCAATTTATTGCTTATTGTTTTTTAGAGTTGTTTTCGGACTTACTCACACTCGTATAAGGTTGTCCATGTTTGTCATTGATAATGTAGCCATGTTACATGGTTACACCCGTTGTCACGAATATGTTTACAAGTTTACCGTCTGTTTTTGAATAGCGATACATTTTTTCACATACTTAAGAACCATCTGATTTTGTGCATTACATGTTCGTCTCAATTTTATTTGCTTTAGTAGGCATTCTTTTGGTTGACGAGGACTTCAATCGGTCCTTTCAATGATTGCTCTTGAAATATAGTACTTTGTCCATACAAATTTAATTATACAAATTGAATTTTTATTGTTTGGTAAAATGGATTAAATTATCCAGCAAACCCAAATTGAAATAGTAAATATAGTATTTCAAACAAATCAGTAACATGTTAATAATGTAGCCTACATTATTTCCTTGAATTGCATAACAGCAATTAATTGGGCTGATCCTAATATAAATAAATCAATATGTTCTTCATAGGCATAACATGGGTTCATAACATGAGCCGCTGGGGCTGAGCCCAAGGGATTTAAAAATGTAAGGTTGGTCTGCAAATTTACGTGACACGCTCTCTCTAATGAGACATGAATGGTCAAAATCGCCTAAGAAATGCGGAGGAGTTCAACAGAAAAATTTCGTGTTGGCGTTATACAGTATGGTTGAGAAGTTATTATCACTTTTTTATCCCTTAAGAGGGATGGACCACAAAGACTAAGACAAAATTCTTATATAATTGTAATACTATTTTACCTGTTTTTGAAATGGCGACCATACAAATGTATGCATTTTAAGCCAAGTATGAATGGAGATGAGTGTGTGATGAGTGGAGCGATCTTGTTGTCCTGTTAGTGACTAAGGCCGACGTAATCCTTAGACACAGCTGTTAATTAATAGTCCATACAGTCAATTAATAGCAGCAGAGGTCAAGTTTGGTAGGTATCAAATTAAAGGGTTTATACATAAAAATACATTGCCGCAAACCCAAACTCAAACGATGATGATGATAATAATGTTAATGATGTAGCTAAAACGTATCGTTTGAAATTTAACAGCTGAAAATAAGTGAAATAGAAAAGGTTTTGGTTAAATCCATCAAATTGTAATTGGACACTAGTAAGTACTAGTGCACTTTTTGCTACTTCCCCCCTTCGGTTTCATGTATTCCTCTCAATTAGTTCAAACCTAGGAGGATTAAACATTAATGTTAATTAATGTTAAATCCTCCTAGGTTCAAACCTGAAACACCCAGATCGAAACTCGCCTGTCGTTATTTTAACATCGCCTTATCTTTTTACTATATTTTTCAAAAAAGAAAGATTATATTGATTTACTTTGAATTTTAAAAATGTTAACGTTTTATTTTATTAAAGATTTATGGTGATACGTAAATATTGTGGTGTAGTAAAGTATATTATATTGTAGTTAAGTGTTAAATGTAGAAATTTTAGGGTGAATCGAGATGAATCTTTTTTTATAACATGGGTCTCTCCTACCTTAACATACATACCAAGTTTCATAAACATCGGTTGAAAAAGTGTAAAGATAAATATTTGTACGATATGTAAAAAATACAAAATGGCGGATATCTGGTTAACGAAACGATTTTGGAAAAAAATTGTATCCTTCATTTTCTGTTTATATTGACCCAAGGAATTACTAACTAGGTAAAGTATCTCTCCGCTTATTTTTAACACCCTGTTTATGATGTATTCTTATTAATATAAGTGAAAAATGTAAGCTGGTAATACAGAAGATTCAAGATTCAAGATTTATTTCGACCATTAAGTCTTGGCCGAAATATGACTTTCTGCTCTTTGTCCTGTTGAGCAGAAAGATGTTTTATATATAATATGAATGTACTGGTAATCTGTATATTCATCTTTTTCTTGTCCTTAGAACTGTAAATTAAAAGTCCACTCAGCAGTCGCATCGTACGATGTAGTTCTTTCCATGCGTTGCGAAATGCTAAAAGTGCCGTCCTCTTCAACCCAAGTTATCTATTCACTTATTGTAAAAAAATAAAAAAAAATATATTTTACGCATCGCACTTTTAGCTACAACTTTGCCACAGACAAAACATCTCTAACCCAAAAACAAAAAAAATCTCGCATGCTAACTTTTTCATGTTAGAAATCACGATTTAAAAATATTTCACCATATATATCAATTTTTATTAATTAGATCGGTAAATAATTAAAGTTCCAACAAAACTGTCATCGAGTAGGACTAACCAAGAAGCTCTGTGCCAATTTTCAAAATTTTAGCACAACTTTAAGTACACCAAAACACGAAATTATTGAAGTCATGCGTCGAGAGGACTATCGCTGTTTTTAACAGATTATACTTTTGACCTTCCGGCACTGTTGACTCAGCGAAACTGAACTTATATTTTATCTTATTTCGTTATATTAAAACTGCTGTTGCATTAGGTCAAATTCCCAATAAGTCAATTGCTTTAACATAGACTACGTTTTTAGCCCGGACTGTACTATTTGACTTACTGGGATTTTTGATCTACAGACACTGCAAACATTGTAGTTTTTGACCTAGCGGCACAGGTATAAATTATTTGACCTTCCGGGACTGTTGACTTTCTGCAACGCGTCCCTAAAAAATGTATATGAAATTAAATGAAAACCAATGTCTTTATTTAAAAGGCGAAGTTAGGACTTGAAAGTTGTCTCTACCACTATAGATCAAACATACTCCCTTAATAGATTTCTCATCGTTATGGATCAGCTGAAAACAATTTTATTGTTAGTTCCGTCCAGTGCACTGTAGAGGTTGTGTTGTGTTTCCACTATAAACTGTAGGTCCCTTAGTTGCCATCAGTTGTATGGGCTATTAATTAACAGCTGTGTCTAAGGAATATATCGGCCTTAGTCACTATCAAGACTACAAGGTCGCGTCACTCATCCTACACTTATCTCCATTCATACTTGGCTTAAAATACCTACTTTGTGTGGTCACCATTTAATCGAAAAGTGTTAAAGTATTTGTTTATTGTTATTTCAGCCATTTAGATGAATTACAGTATTAATGTTTTTGTGGAAACAGCAAAATATAGACAAAATCATGATTCACTGATACACGATCAATATCAAATTCTAACATACATCTTTGTTGTCTTATTTCTAGTGGAGCCATTTTGATGATGTTTTGAATATATGGCTACCATCAATGGAGATGGAGCAGAAGTTGTTGTTGCGGGAAGCTTACATAGCGAGTTTAGAAACACTGTTGCAAGCAATGGGACTTGCTAGTGTACGATGGTCAAAAAAACTTCTCACCATCCTTTCTGAGTACTGCGAACAAGAGCATACTCGGGACAAAGCAATTTCGGTAATACTTAATTATATTCAACCTTTGTAGCAGCCAGGCTTGTCTTGGGATACCACGGCCTCGGGACCAATCAGTATATGATTTAGGCCCTGTACACATGAGGGCGGCAGCCGCCGCGGTTGCCATTGCGCGGGAACCGCGGCGGTTGAAAGTACAAAGGAGTAAATGGGACCGTTCACATGCAACCGCCCACTTCCAATCAACCGCAACAAACCGTGGCGGTCGTAGATTTCCCTTCGACCGCCGCGGCTCCCGTGCGGTTGAAGTTACTAGAGTTGGCATGAGAGCGTACACATGAGGGCGGTAGCCGCCGCGGTTGACTGCAGTTGCTACTATAGGATCACATCTGCACGCTTGCCCTGTGGACATCGCTCTATCTCTCTCTGTGTTCGTGAAGTGTGTAGCTGTGGCTGGAGTTGATGTAGTGCTCGTAGTGTAAGTTTACAATGGCCATGCGTGCTGCTGTGGAACCAGAAAACTTTGACACTGAACTGTTCGTTAAAGAAGTACAAAAAGAAGATACGTTTAGGACATAAACTAAAAAAGATTGCGTGGCAAAAGTTAGTTGAGTTTTTTGCTGAAAAGAATTGTCAAGCGTTACGCGTTTTAAAGAAAAATAATTGGGTAAATACAGTACTGGCTGTCGAGCGACGGTCAATTCACACCGCAACCGCAGCGTAACCGCGGCTCCAACCGCTGCCATGTGTACGGTCCTAGGCGACAGCCGCTGCGGCCACCGCGGCGGCTGCCGCCCTCATGTGTACAGGGCCTTAGTTATTGCTGAGGTTCCACTGTATTTGAAAAACAGTTTAACTGGGAGAGTTAGTTTAAAAGTTATTTACATATTAGAATTAAATTAAGGAATGTGCTCTAAAACATTGTTTTTAAAGTATCAAACACATTTTACTGGGAATTAAAATTGTTAAGTTATTATAGGTATAAATTTTAATTTTTGTCCACTTAGAGATGTTAATAGTAAAGATATGTGTAAATCACTTCATAATTAATTGAGGAAATTTTTTTTTTTTACTTCCTACATTAAATCAAGTTTGCTTTATTTTACCAAAGTAACCTCCGCATGTGCCTGGCGGTGTTTCAACATCAGTTCTTATGCATGTTCATTGTTCAAGGGTTATCCATGAGATAACTACAAATCCATTTTAACACCTAACCACATGAGCGTCCATCTAACGTTTCCATAATAACTCCCTCCCAATAAAGAGGGAGGTCTAGGGGGTCTTCTCTTGGAGTATTTAGGGACAAAATGTGTGTTTTTTCTTACCCAAACTCCTCGGTCATCTCATATTGCATAAATTAATAACTTTTATTATCCGGGGGGGGGGGGGGGGTCTGAGTCCCTTCAAGCTCATATTGATGCACGCCCATGCCTACAAATACTCACATTGATCAAGGATATCTCAAATTCATTCTAAATCTTAACTATGACCGGTCATTTACAACACTCATCAATAAAAACAATAATAAATAAAATACAGTTTATCAAATGTTAACAAATTGAAGTACTGTAAGGACTATAAATCATTTGAACAAAATATAGGAATCAGTATTTCACTGGTTTCTTTATGTATTGTGATTAAAGTATTTATTTGTTTTCCTTATTGTCTTCAATTATTTTTCAGACTTTGATAACGTTTATGCGAACAACTTGGCCAAGACTTTCACACAACTTTCACCAAATTGCTGGTGTTCTAGTGAGAGTTGTCATTCAAATTTCCAAGAATGATAAACTATCTTGTGATACATCATCAAGGAACTCACTGAAACTTGTTAAACAATGTTTTTCTCTGATGGAAAGTGTTTGTCATGAAGAGCACAAACTGTTTATAAATGATCTTAAGAATTGTGAAGATTTGAAAGATTGTTATGTGTTAATAACTCAATATGAAGAAAGAGATTATTTGTAACAATATTGATATTTTGAAAAACTTTTGCGAAGTTTCCATCAATATATCTGTGGTTGAATTCTTTTATACATTGTATCGTATCTGTAATACATTAGATTCTCATAAGCTCGTTGACAATGTAAATAAAATAAATTTTTAAATATCTGAATACAACCATCTAATTATTAATTCTTTATTAGATGTTAACACTGCAAGTTCAGCCGAATTCCAAAAAAAGAGTTTTTGTATTGTCCTAGAACATACGTTGTGCAGTTTACTTTTCATTACTTTACACAAAAAAGTACACTTTCTAAACGTAAAATGAGCTAAGAAAATATGTTATTCCCGTTACTGCACGGCAAAATTACATAACCTTAACTTTCTATGCATTTGTGGTGCACGGAAATTAACTGTTATGGGATTTTGCGGTGCAGACTCATCAGCTGTTGTATTATTTGCTGTAGCATTGTTTTGTACCTCGACATAAGCACGGAAACTCAGCATTTCAGGGTGTCTAGTAGTCGGGAAAGTCGGGAATTAGTATTGAATTTCAAAATGGTCTTGAAAGGTCGGGATTTAGTCTTAAATTTGATTTCAAAGTCGGGAATTTTCATGATTTTGCCGCGATCGTCGTCTTGCGTTTACGTAACCGCGAAAGCCGATGATGTCTTCACGGCCTCGGGAAATCTTCACGATGTTGCCGCGATAGTGGACAACGACGATGACGTTTCCGTGACCGCGGGAGACAACGATGACGTTTCCGTGACCGCGGGAGACGACGATGATATCTGCTCGGCCGCGGGAATTGTTCATGATTTTATCGCGATCGCGGACGACGACGATTACGTTTCCGTGACCGCTGGGGACGACGATAACGATTCCGTGACCGCTGGGGACGACGATAACGTTACCGTGACCACGAGAGTCAACGATGACGTTTCCGTGACCGCAGGAGATGACGATGCCGTTTCCGTGACCGCGGGAGACGACGATGACGTGGCCGTGGGAGTTAATGATGACACGGCCGCAAGGAATTTTCATTATTTTGTCGCTATCGCGGACGACGGTGATGACGTTTCCGTGACCGCGGGAGACGACGATGACGTTTCCGTGACCGCGGGAGATGACAATGACGTTTCAGTTACCGCAGGAGACGACGATGATGTCTACACAGGCGCGGGAAATGTTCATGATTTTGCCGTGATCGCGGACGACGACGATAACGTTTCTGTGACCACGAGAGATGACGGTGGTGTCTAAACAGCCGCAGGAAATGTTCATGATTTTGCCGTGATCGCGGACGACGACGATGACGTTCCGTGACCGCGGGAGATGACGATGACGTTTCCGTGACCGCGGGAGACAACGATGACGTTTCCGTGACCGCGGGAGACGACGATGATATCTGCTCGGCCGCGGGAATTGTTTATGATTTTATCGCGATCGCGGACGACGACGTTTCCGTGACCGCTGGGGACGACGATAACGTTTCCGCGCCCGCTGGGGATGACGATGACGTTTCCGTGACCGCGGGAGACGACGATGACGTTTCCGTGACCGCGGGAGATGACGATGATGTTTCCGTGACCGCGGGAGACGACGATGACGTTTCCGTGACCGCGGGAGATGACGATGACGTTTCCGTGACCGCGGGAGATGACGATGATGTTTCCGTGACCGCGGGAGATGACGATGATGTTTCCGTGACCGCGGGAGACGACGATGACGTTTCCGTGACCGCGGGAGATGACGATGACGTTTCCGTGACCGCGGGAGACAACGATGACGTTTCCGTGACCGCGGGAGACGACGATGATATCTGCTCGGCCGCGGGAATTGTTTATGATTTTATCGCGATCGCGGACGACGACGTTTCCGTGACCGCTGGGGACGACGATAACGTTTCCGCGCCCGCTGGGGATGACGATGACGTTTCCGTGACCGCGGGAGACGACGATGACGTTTCCGTGGCCGCGGGAGATGACGATAACGTTTCCGTGACCGCGGGAGATGACGATGACGTTTCCGTGACCGCGGGAGATGACGATGATGTTTCCGTGACCGCGGGAGACGACGATGATATGTGCTCGGCCGCGGGAAATGTTCTTGATTTTGTCGCGATCGCGGACGACGACGATGACGTTTCCGTGACCGCGGGAGATGACATTGATGTCATTGATGTCTACAAGGCCGCGGGAAATATTCATGATTTTGCCGTGATCGCGGACGACGACGATCACGTTTCTGTAACCGCTGCAGTCAATGAAGATGTCTAAACGTACGGTACGCGGAAGATTTCTTGACAAAAAAAACCAAATTTGCTAGTTAGAATTTTTTATTGCTGCATTATTTCTTTACTTGAAAACACCACATTATCATAATACTACTTTATGACAAAGACAGGGGTTAGTGTAGTATTATTTAGAAAATTTGGTTAAGCTATAACAATTTGTATCGGTATCAAGAATTGAGAATCGTTACTTTTTGGTATCAACACCCACTAATTGTTGAAAAACTAGTCTTGAAAAATTTGGAATTAGTCTTGAAAAGTCTGGAATTAGTCTTGGATTTTATAATGGAAATAAACTAGACACCCTGATTATGAGTTTGTTTTTTTTTCTTGGTACTAAGTTGAATAAATAAAACTATTCATGTTGTTTACAAGTTTTTCGATATCGTAATGAAAAATAATCTTCAACGCTCGTCTCAAAAGTGCCATTGCGGGGCTCGATAGCTTTTTCCACTAAAAACGCAATCTCTCCCCGCAATAAGTAACTTTTGAGACTAGTAATGAAAAATATTACAATGTTGTAGGTATCACAATAAAGTGATAATGTATACAATTTCTTGTCTTTGATATAAAGATTGATTCTATGGCAAAGCAATGTTTTCTTGACATGCCAAACTTGGGCTGTAAAAATATTGTATTCAGAAATTAAATGGCATATTTTACCCCTGGCAATCTGTTTCAAGATATTATGAGCCAAATTATTTCCGAAGTAGATAGCTACTCAAATAAAATTATCTAACAGAAGAGGCTTAATAAAATATAATATAATATAATATAAGGAAACCAAGTATTTTGTTATGATTCTCCCATGGTATTTGGTCAATATTTAAGTCAAATACTCTGGCTTTAAAACTGATCTTGAACGAACTGCCGGCTAAACTGGCTGAATAGGCATACTGGTCATTGTACTTCCAAGTTGTCTTGACTATTTTAGCACAAGATGTTGGTGGTACAGAGAAGTTTTTTTTTTATTTTTATTTGCAATATATTTGTTTGTATCATTTCATTCTGTTCTTGTGCCTAAAATAATTATTATTTTGTAAATGGTGCACCAATTGATATACATTGATAAACAAGTGTTTGCTGGTCAAAGGATTGCTATTAAACTAACTGAAGGACTTTTGATGATTCTTAAATCAGCTAATTGTACAAAATGACACAGCAAGCCAATTTTTCCAATATTTAACATTTTACAGCTCCTAAAACATCAGGGATAAATAAGTTAGTCTTAAAATTATTTTATTTACATTCCAAAACATAAATAAGATATCTGGTGTTTTACCTACTATAAATTTTGGTACTTTCCTGTTAAAGGGAACATTCGTTATTATCGATGATTTTTTTCGATACATCGATACCTATTTTTGTTTTCCTTTATGATACATTACAAATTGACAGCTGATCTTAAAGCTAAAGTATAGTCTATTATATGGATAATGAAATTCTTCTAAGCTAACTTAACATAACCAACCAAACTTGCTGTACCATTTAAAAATTCCGTTTGATAAAAGAAAAGGTGAGTGGAGAATATTAAACGGAGTTTTTAAATGTTACAGCAAGTTTGGTTAGTTTTGTTAGGTTAGTTTAGAACAGTTTCATTCCAATTATTGTTTATTGATTAATTATTGTTTGTTGATTCTGAACAGTATTTATATAGGCTATCGAAGTTGTCAGCTGATATGTTTCAATTTGTTAATATCGATACATCGAGAAAAAAATCATCGATGATAATGAATGTTCCCTTTAACAGGAAAGTACCGACCGGTTTTTGAAGTAAGTCACCATCTTGGAAAACGGTGACCATTTTCTTAATGTAATTATTAATTAAAAATAGGAAAGAAATTCAATTTCCATAACAGACTCAGGGGAGTTATACTATCATTGGGGAGTTCAAAATATCATAGACTAACTAACAAAAGGTAAGTTAGTATATTTAATCTATATCATCGATATTGGCTGAAGTGTGTGTGCTGCGCCTCAATATATGGCCCGCATATGAGACTTGTATGGTGAAACTTACCTTGCATGAGTTGGGTCGCCTGCGATTCAACATACAACCGGCCTAAGGCCCCTTCCTGGGTAAGCGACAAAACAGTAGCGGTGTGACTCTACATAGCGACGCCAGCAGAACCTTTTTATAGAGGGCCAGGCTTACAAGTAACTATGGGATTGCAGCGCAGCTGGAACAGCTTATTGTGCACCCTCATTCTCCATCAAATCCCAGGTCCTTTGTGAACCATGAGATCCTTTTGACTATGGTGACCTGTCCTTCCCTTTGATCTCCAGTCAATAGGCCAAGGGATCTCAAGCAGACCTTGTAGGGCTGGGCACATAAATATCACTTGGAAGGCTGTCTCCTCCTCCTCGCCACATTTCCTACATAGGCTTTCAACTTGAATTCCCATCTTGTGTATAGATGTCCATAGAATACCCAAAGGCCGCTGAGCACCTTTTTGCCCACTTGTCAGCTCCCTCATTGCCAGCAATACACCTTTGTGCCCTGGAACCCAATTAAGGATAACCGTTGTTCTTTTCCAGGGCTTTCATGGCCTAATGACAGTCTCATACAGCCTTAGAGGTAAAATCTAAACTGGCAAGTGCCATTAGTTCTGCTTTGCTGTCCACCGAGTTCTGAACTCGGACTTCATGTAGGTATACAGTGTGGCCTGTAAGGTAAGACCACACTTCAAACACACTCTTGCACACTCGGACAGAGCAACAACTTCTGCCTGGAATACAGTGGCCATTTCCCCAGGCTTACGCGCCTTGTGTCTACCTCCATATATTCCAGCCCCAGTGCCCGTTGGCTTTTTCGAGCCATCCGTATACCAAGTGGTCCCCCTTTTCATGTATTCAGGTTCACTCTTATTCCAGGCAGCAGGCCTCTCAACTATGTTGACATTTATATGGCTTTTCTAGATCTGTGGTGGAACGCTTATAGAGCGGAGGCTGGCGTTTACCCCCCCCTCCCCCCCCCCGATGGGAATTTTCGACATATACATTTTTTGGTTTGTATTGACATGTACTTTAAGGTTTTAGGTGTTTGCCACTTGTGAATTACAGCATGTTCTGGAAAACACGAAAATATCATGAATATATATATTTAAAAAAATGGTTTTTCTTTATCCAGTTCGTTTGGCTCTACAACCCGACCGATTTTCATGATTGAGGTCTCAAATTGAAGGTATTAACGCACAGATTTCACATCAAGCATCGGCATATAGTTGCCTACAGTCCCACTCGGCTTATAGGTAAACAACATTTTTTCCCATGTATTTCTTATGGGAGTTAAATTTGGTTTTTCTTTTCCGAGTTCGTTTGGCACTTCTACCCACCCGATTTTCATTATTGAGGTCTCAAATTGAAGGTATGCACGCACAGATTTCACATCAAGCATCAGTATATATTTATCGACAGTCCCACTCGGCTTATACGTAAATTAAATTTACCCCCCATGTATTTCTAAAGGGAGTTAAATTTGTTTTTTTTCTTTTCCGAGTTTCTTTGGCTCTTCTACACGTCCGATCTTCATGATTGAGGTCTTAAATTGGTAGTATGCACACATATATTTCACATCAAGCATCATCGTATATTTATCTACTTTATTACTCGACCAAAAAACATAGGTTTGATATATTTTTTAATTCGTATTTCAATTTAAATTGTACAGTTTTTTACCATTTGTAATGATATAACCCTATATATTTTGGTCTAAGAACCTTCAGTGAAATACCGGCTTGCATTTAAGATATTAGTTATTCAAATCGGACGGTTTTCAAGCAAACGCAAGGTGAACATCCAACATAAAAAAAAAATTATAAGGTTTTTCTATGATTGAATATCAATAGCTCCAGTATTGTTTACGTTTTTTTATATGTTTTAGACTCAAAATAATCATTCAATTATAGGCTTTAATTTGAGCTATTGATGGTTTGAATCAGTTAAGTTTAGGATACTGTATTACACAACCAAAAATAATAAATTTGATTATTTCTCGGATATGATATTTATTTTAACCCCGCAGTGCAGCATGGGTACTTTAGTATAGATTTTTTAGTTTCATTTGATTTGATTAGTTGATTCCTGTGCGTAGGACCGGCCCACAGCAAGTTAGAATTTTAAAATGCAAGTATGGTGAAGTCATCAGATTGTTCTCAGAGACATGCAAGCAAATTAAATGAAACGAAGTGAGCAAAGTATTTTGCAAGTACTGTACTTGATGCTTTTGAACAATGCATTATTCTGCTTGAAGTTGAAAACCGTGATCAGAATTCCTAGATGGTCTGTTTATCAGCTGGAAGACCTGTACCCGAATCGGTGGAAGACAATTTACTCAATGTAGATAATCTGGGGAAAGCTGCATGCAAACAGATTAGTTGAGATAAGAGCACTAAGAAATATTTTTCTGGAGTTTTACTGCTGTCCCAGGAACGTGATATTAACCTTGAGAAGCTGATGACATACCCATTAGATCCAGTACCATGGGCATCAGCCACTGTCAATGGATGCCCAACCATAACAGAGAAGGCCAAACTGCTCCATGCTTTGGAGAACAAGGGTATAGACGAACCTCTCAAGATTGAAGAATGTATGTATTATTACATATTATTGCATGTATGTATTGACGGTATGGCTTACTTTTAGGTTCTTACTAATATTCCAGAAACCTCTGGTGAACTAGCACAGATTGCTCTCAGTTGTTTTCCGAAACTCCGGATATACTTTATTGCGGATACCTATTTAGATGTAACTATTAAAAACATTGAAAGAGAGAAGAGGATTTGGAGAAACGTTCTTGAGATGTCCAAAATCAAGATCCCACGGGATTGGGAAAAAAATCCTAGCTAATGGTAAAAATAAGGAACAACGGGTTAACATGCCAAATAATGAATGGTCTCAGCACAAATATTCATAAATTCAGACAAGCTTCAATACACGTTTCTAGGGTAATGTAAGGTTGTTTTTGGTGATATTTTGAAATTTACCCCCCACCCACAAACAGGGTTGAATTTTTTTAAAACGGAAACCCATATCAATCGGCACATTATTTTCAAGAGATTTAAAAAAATAAAATTATTGCCGCAAATCCGATTTTGATACGAGGAAAACGAAGTTTTAGACGTTAATTTTACTGGAACCTTACATTCCAGTAAAATTTACGTCTAAAATGTCTCAATAAAATTTATTTAATTTAATTAGAATCTCTTAAAATCGCTTTCCTAGAGGTACTCTTTAAATCTAATGTTATTTAAATAGATTTAATTAAAAATCAATTCAGGCCAATTTGAAATCCGCATTGCTTGCAGGTTTGCTGCAGCGGGGGTATTTTTTTGACTTTTTTATTTTCATTTGAAGTCTTTGAATACATACTGAAGAAGTCCATAAAGAATATTGCACCAGTAATTAACGCAGGCTACCCTTTTGTAATTTAAATAAAACAGTTTTTTTTTTAATAGTTTTTCTTAATTTTTTGGAATATGCTGTAATTTAAAAGAAGCAAACAACTGAATTCTTAATCTGGTAGGTAATACCCACCAACAAAAAAAAGTATAAGTCATAAATTCCCACGGGGGGGGGGAGGGTTTCATATTGGTGGCTCATGGTCTATTAGATTTCCACAGCATTTTGTAGATTTTGATGTCCGTCATGGCTATTGTCACGGTAATAACTAAACAGAAATAACAACACCCCCCACACAGCAAACCTGTTGACTAAGGGAATTTCAATCTTTCTGTTTGTATATCTATCTACTGTATTGTTAAATTTGTTTATTTTATACTAAGCTATTCATGTTCTTTTTTTTTTTTTTAAACCCTTTTATTAACCTCCTTGTAGCAGCAAACCTAGGTACTCTTAAGCCCAATTTAAATAGATTTGATCTAAGGGAAAATCAGGCAATTGGAAATTTGCTTAGTCTGCAGGTTTGTTTTTTAGCTCCGAAACGGGGAATGGGCACTCGGGAGGGACTAAGGCTAAAGGTGTAGTGACGTCATATCTCTAGTGGCTAACACCACTAACCACCATTGAACCATTGGACCACTAGACCATTGAATGTCTTCTCTTCAGGCGACACGATTACCGTAACGAAACGGTGAGATTTCAACGGCGTTCGTGGCGTAGTTGGTAGCGTTTCGAATCGAGGTTTAGGAGGTCCCGAGTTCAAATCTCGCTGGCAGCACTAACTTTTTGTCAACAAATTTTTCATATCAGCAAGTTTGGTTGGTTAGGTTAGGTTATGACAGTTTAATTTTATAATACTAAATTTTAAAATTAATTTAATTAATTTTATAATTAATTAAAAATTATAAGTAATCATTAATTCGATTTTTATCTTATACAGTTTTTATATTATCAGCAAGTCTGGTTGGTTAGGTTAAATAAAAATTTATTTTATAATTTTAAAACAATGGTTTATAATTAAAAAGTTAATTTTATAACTAAAAATTAAAAAAATAATAGTTTAAATTTTTTTCAACTTAGCAGTTCTAGCGGCGAACGCTGACACTAACAAGATATGTTAGCCTTAGTCCCTCCCGTGTGCCCCACCACCAAAACGGTTTGGAAAGAAATTGTGAAATTTGGTGTTTTTAGGGTCAGAAATGGGGAAAATGTTAACCAATAAACCTCCGTTACCATAATCCGATCAAGCTGATTCGCGAACTCGTTCGAATAAACGTGGGCTTACTTGTTTGTACTGTACCACGATTACTAGAAAAAAATTATACATTATACTGAACAGTGTACAAACTTTCGATTCAAACTACTGTTGGCTAACTTGGCGATTGTTACATATGGCTGTGAATGCTGTCTGCTCCTGCTGTTTGGCTGTGTATCTTACTGTCGTTCTTGTTTTTGTGTTCTAGCTTTTCTTTCTGCTTTCTGCTAATGGATGTTGGGGTCGGGGAATGTCTTTTACTTCAAGTAGTCTAGATTTATAATTTGTGACTGTGGATATCTGTCAGTGTTAAGTTCGTTTGAAGACCTAAATAATAAGACTCTTTTGGTGTTGAAGTTAATTAATTAATAGATCATAATCATGGCCACCGTTATATTGGGTTTAAATCTTCCTAAAGCTGTAGCCCATTTAGCCCCTGTTAGTCGTAAGATTTTGACCTCTCAAGGAAATTCGAATGTAGGTTTACTTTTTATGAGATCAATAGTTGGAAAGAGCAATCGTGACCCAGACTATCAGAGAATCCCTCCTTTTCCTTACAAGACCAAGAAATACACCATGCTACGAAGTTGGTTTGACCGCACCACTTACAGGTTTGATGAGAATTCCAAGATAATTGTTGTTGATGGTGCTGTTGCTGCAGGAAAAACTGCTTTTGCCAAACAACTCGCTGAGGAATTAGATATGCTGTACATGCCTGAGGGAAATATGGATATGTGGTACATAAACAATTACGGGTATGATATGAGGCAGTTGGATCCAAAATTGCCTAAATCGTGCAGATCCTATGATACCAAAAACTTTTGCGAAGATCCCCACCATTTTAATGCTGCCACTATGCAATTGATACTGTTTGAGCTAAAATACTCTCAGTACATTGATGCTTTAGCCCATGTCATGAACACAGGTGATAATTTGTTCTATTTTGATTTAAGTTAACCCTTTGATTGATTCAACAAAATATCGTTATTTACTAAAATCTTATAAGATAATAGATATAAAGAGGAAGTAGCTAAAAACTATTTATTTGTAAAAAATAGCAAAATGGCATGTTTATTTATGGGATACACCAACAACCACTTAGTTAAAAGATTCGCCCAATCTGATGATTCAAGGTGTACAGTAGGCCTACCTATGTATAAACCAATGATTATAAACACCTCAACACCAAACACCTTCTAATCCCAGTGGTTGCAGTATATTGCTCCAAACACACATGAGGGGATTCAAACCCGTGCAGACGAATGCCACTGGCAAATTGACATGCCCTAGGTAGCTAAACCATTAAGCCTAATACGGTTTTCAAACCTTATTGTTTGTTTTAGGTCAGGGAGTGGTCATGGACAAATCTTGCTACAGCGATTATGTATACGCTGAAGCAATGGAGAAAGAAGGTTTCATTAGTAAAACTGGTGAGTGTTGTAAGCCTATACGATGGGAAAAATTTGGTAGGCTGTAAAATCGGAGTGCTTGCTTTTTGGTTTGAAAAATGTCAAATTGAACGAATAAATAGTCTCAACCCCACCGATTTCAGTCATTGATCTGTTATTATCTCCTTGATAAAATGTGAATGGTATACATTGCCGTTGACTGCCAATTAATTAGAAAGTAAAACCTGTTTTGAAATCATAAAATATTTTCAATTACTAATCAGATAATATTTGTTGTTTTAGCCAAGAGCATCTACTATGATCTTAAGAGACACTCAATGTTCGAGTTAATGAGGCCTCACCTAGCAATCTACCTGGATGTTCCCGTGCCCAAGATCCTAGAGAAGGTGAAGCAAAGGGGTCGGCCGCACGAGCAGAACTCCAAAGCTCTCTCCCCATCCTTTCTAAATGCACTAGAGGAAAACTACAAGCGGGCATACCTCAAGGAAATCAGGTAAAACATGCACAGCACAGTATTCTGTGATCACTTTTTCCTTAACTGTTGGCAGCTTAGGCATATTTTGCAAAAGTATTCCCAAACATTATGTAAGTTAGGTTGAGAGAAGATTTGGGAGATTTATGTGACACATTTTAACGAGCATGTAAATAACTTTGTTAAGAATAGGCTATGTCTATCTAATACAATAAATTTTATTTGTGAGCATCGGAATCCTCTAGGCCTACTTGAAATCTCTAGCGCCCAAGGTTGTTTAAAACAAAAGATCTCTAAAGCCGCCATGATTAGATGAATTGGTTGTTGGGTCAGGGAATTGATCAAAAGCATGGTGTAATGAATTGAAGTTTGGAATTGAGTATCCCTGGAAGTTGTTCAATGATCAATAAGACATAATCACAAGGAAATTACAAGCCTGAGCACAATTACCTTAAACCTATGTATGCACAGTACACTCCCGATTAACCGAGGTTGTTGGGACTGAGACTACCTCGTTTACCGAGAATCTCGGATAATACGAAGGTATCTTAGATTTTGAGGTTAGGGATTACGGTAGGTAACACATAAGGAAGTCAAAGACTGTAAAGTTTATGTTTTAATAACAATGCATAAAGATACAAAATAATCAAAAATTGGTATTTTCATGGAAAATGTCTTTTTAGCGAATTTCCCATATAGGGAATAAGCTATTACCGTAGTACTCACGGTAAGACCTGGACCCGGGACCGATTTTTTTTTTCGTTTTGAGGTCCCTAGAGGTCAAAAACACCATGCGTTCAAATTCATATATATATATATATTTATATATATATATATATACTAGCTGTAACCCGCGGGCTTTGCCCCGTTTAACTTCTTAATTTTCAAGATTATCTCGTTCGCATGGCTCAATCACGTCCTGGTTGAAGTTTGTTCGCTACGCTCACTCACCTTTAGGTTGGAGCTCGTTCGCTACGCTCACTCACCTTTAGGTTGGAGCTCGTTCGCTGCGCTCACTTGCCTTCAGGTTAGCTCGTTCTCTACGCTAACTCGCCTCCAGGTTGAAGTTCGTTCGCTACGCTCACTCACCTTTTGGTTGCAAATTAGCTGTTGTCATAAATGTAAAAGAAATAATAGTGCTGCACCCTGTTGGTAATTTTTGTAACTTTAATGCTATTGAACATCACAGAACAGAACCAACTTGTTTAATTGAAACAGCTGTTAAGATTCAATAATTTCATTTCTCATAAGGTTAACATGGGAAACTCCAGAGCCACTGGGGCGGAGCCCGAAAGGATTTTTGAAATAAGAATATGCCTATATGTTAATCGGGAATGTGAGCTATCATCATGCCAAATTTCAGCCCAATCCGACCAGTATTTTTCGCGTTCACTTGTCACAAACATACATCCATACATCCATACATCCAAACTTTCTCATTTATAATATTAGTAGGATGTTTATATATATATATATATATGTGTCCGTTAGCGCGATAACTCGAGCAAAAATGATCCGATTTTGATGAAATTTGGTACAAACGTGTAAACCTACGTTTATTCGAACGAGTTCGCGAACCAGCATGATCGGACCATGGGAACGGGGGTTTATGGGGGCTGTTATGGGGTAAAAATGGGTTTTTCCCATTTTTGACCCAAAAAACATAAAATTTTGCAATTTCTTTCGAAACTATTTTGTAGAGCTTAAAAAAACAAATAATTTAGTATATTGAAGCGTTATAATGCGCCTAATGGTTACGGAGAAAATTCCAAAAAATTGTAAATTCAAAATTCCCATGTTATTCTTATGGAGAATAAGTAAGCTGTTGTAGTTTGCTTGTTTATAAACATATTTTGCCCAAATTTGGAAAATGTTTTTATTTCTTACTAACTATTAACATTTTACATAAAAAACACTTTTACCCTCCCTGTTGCAGCAAACCTAAGTATGTTTTAAACTGATTCTATTTAAATAGGGAATAAATGTGATAATTTTAAGGAGACATTTTAGTGTAAATCCATTCAGGGAAATGGAAATTCGCTTAGTCTGCAGGTTTGCTGCGGCGGGGGTATTTTAATAAGGCAGTGTTATTAAGAAAAACAAAAATCAAACATGTGCTTAAATTAACACTTCTTAAATTGTCTTGGCAAATTACAGTTTTATTAAATTATGCTAAGTCAACACTCTGCAGGATTAAATAAAAACAGAATAAGGTGGATCCATATAGTTCTTAAAGTAGGCTATAAAAATAATTTTTGTTTGACTTTAACTAAACTTGACAGAATCATGTCAATATTAAAACTTTTGCAATGACAACACTGACAAAAGGCGATACGAGCCGGCAAAGCCCAAGCAGAAATGCCACTGCTTTTGATGACATTTTTCAGACGACTCTCGTCCAGCTTACCAATTCGTATATACCAAGGAAAAAATGTGGTTCGGATTCCACTACAAACTGTAGGTCCCTTAGTTGCCATTAGCTGTTTGGGCTATTAATTAACAGCTGTGTCTAAGGAATGTCGGCCTTAGTCACTAACAAGACAACAAGATCGCGCCACTCATCCTACACTCATCTCCATTCATACTTGGCTTAAAATACCTACTTTGTATGGTTGCCATTTCATAAGAAAGTATAAGTAAGTAAGTATAAGTACCAATGATTAGCGGCCAACCTAGTAGTGTGTGATTTCTATTTTGTAGGTGACCTTGGATCATTTGTACGTTAAAATAATGTATAGGCTAATCATTATTTAAAGTATTAATTTTAAAAAATAACAAATTACTTGCTACTTTCGCTCTATTTTCCACAGAATCATTCCTGAAAATGTAATTATTGTTGTTTTCCGACTGGAGATAAAGAATATATATATATTTAGGCCTAAAACGACCTAGGATAACCCAAGAGCTCGTGTAATCCAGAGTGTACTGTAATTGATCAATGAAGTAGACCTACCTACTGTATCTTATTCATGTCTTAAAATGTTATAATGTATTTAGTATCCATTATCCAAGGATTATTTCCCCCTTTAGGGTTTTTATTTTATTTCACATACCGGTACATTGTGTTTGATTTAATTTAAACACTCTCATGTAGTATGATCAGGTTACATATTGTAGGCAGCATAGTACTTATTTCCAGTCAAGTACCTCGAATATCAAGATAACTAAACAGCCATGTTTTAAAATGTCAAGTAGCCTTGACTCCTTTACATAATTCTTGATGTTATCTACTTACATAGGCCTTATAAACAACCCATAGTATAAACAACTACATAGGCCTTGTATCAATTGTCATATCATTGATTCTGTAGGCCTAAAGATTTTAGATCATCCTAGTTCTTCATCAGCAGATTAGGAATTTAGCATGTTCAATTTTTGTCTAGTATTCAACACTATGCATACAAATAAAAATTAACATAGAACATGAAATCTAATGTAATTATTTGGTTGCAACCGTCACAATCATATGCATCCCAAACTGGTTAAAAGCTGTAGGCTAAGTTCACTCTAATAGGCCTAGCGTTATCTTCTAACATCACACCGAATATTTTAAGGCCCACAAATTACAATTATTTTCTACAAAAGTTCCTCTGGAAACTATTTTTGAATTTAACAAAAGTTTGTGTTGGTAGTAATCACGCAGAGTTGCTGGTTTACGACTGGTCCGATGGCGGAGACGTGGAGGTTGTGGTGGAGGATATCGAGCGGATCGACTTTGACAAATACACCAAGTACGACAAGAAACTCGAGGATTGGCGGTTGTGGAACGAACAGGAGTGGTCAGATAAGCGGATGATGTGAGCCTTTCCACTGTAGTTTTTAAATTGTATTCACTAAGTTTATGTTTAAATTACAGTATTACATTCTGTCTCACATTTAGTTCAGGCAAGGGCAAGCTACTTCACCAGAAAGGTAGGACAGGATAATGCCTGAGCCCGCCTTTCAAGTGAATACCGTGATTCTACTTAAAAGCGAAATGTAATGAATACTTTGAAAATTATTTTTAATTTGTCATCTCAGAAAAACCAAAGTACTGTAATCAAATTTACTACAAAACTAGTGTACCTGTTGCTCGAATTCGAGCAATTGCGAAGCATTACAGGCGTTATTTTAAAACAAATAACGGTCATAATTTCCGATGACTTTATAAAAGTCGACTCAAAGATTATGGAAATACTCACGATGTACACAACAGTTTGATATAATCAAAATCTTTTGTAAATATCTTATCTTTTCTTAAAAAGCTGATATTGTTTTTTAGTGTTTCTACAAATTTTTCCTTCTCATAGCCGCATTAGGTTGTCTATAATAACGATCATAAATAAAAAAAAAACATTATTTCTTTTCTTCTACTTGGTTGTGTTCTATGACTTTTTCTATGTTTCCATTGTTTGCAAATCGGTTATTTCAATGATTGCTCAAGAAATGTAGCATATTCTTAATTCAGTTTTATTTTTAGCCTATATCAAATTGTTCAGGATTTCTCGCTTTTTTCCATTGTAATAATTTTACCAACCCAAGTTTCGTCTAAAGATGCAATACGCCAAAGAATATCACCTACGTAAAATCTCCAAGAAGTGGTAAAAAAGGCAGAAACCAAGCCATACAATAGATATACAAGATACAAGATACAAGATACAAGATACAAGAATACTTTATTTACAATCTTTAAGATTGAAAGGGCGTCAATACAGAATTGTGCAGTTGCTATATAAAAGTCAATACAAATAGTTATTTTTTAAGAATAAAAAATAGATGATCAGAGTTCTTGCAGTGATGATTTATTCAAGTTCTTGCCAAGACAAATACTCATTCAGGCTATAAAATGGTCTATGTAACAGCCAGCACTTTAGTTCTTTCTTCAGTTTTCTGGGTTGAAGAGACTTCAAGTGGACGGGAAGGACGTTAAAAAACTTGGCACGCATGTATGAGGGTTTCTCTTCATAGAGCCTTGTATTGTGAGCAGGAAGGTTGTAATCATTTCTTCGTCTTGTGTTATATGAGTGCACCTCCTGATGACGACAGGTCCTGGAAGAGTCGACAATGGTAAGAGTCCGTAGTATGAAGAGGTTGACTACGGTCAGGATTTTTAACCTCCTAAACTCTGGTCTGCAACTATCTGTTGTCTCAATGCCAGTCAGGGTTCGAACAGCCCTCTTTTGCATGATTAGAACTCTGTTAAGGTTCTGTGCCGACGATCCACCCCACACCACAATGCCATAACAGAGAATACTCTCAAGAAGGGCATAGTATGCTGTTAGTGCCGCCTCTTCTGTGCTCACAGCCATTGTTCTTCTCAGTGCAAAAATTGCGGTGCTTAGCTTATGGCAGAGTGCTTCAATGTGTTCGTCCCAAGCGAGATGTTCGTCAATGATGACACCTAGATGTCTTACAGAGCTAACAGAGTCAATGTCGGGAATACAGCAGACGAAATTTTTCCTGTTGCTAAATGAAACTAGCTTGGTTTTTGAGGCGTTGAAAACAAGGTCATGATTGTCGCAGTACTCCGCAGCTAGGCTCAAACCAATGTAGGCATTGACTTCTACGTTGTTGATGGGTGAGTTTGAAGAAAGCAAGACAGTGTCATCCGCATACATTATAGCTTTACTGAAGGGTTCGGTGGTATCTGGAAGGTCGTTCGTCGATAAGATATAAAGTACCGGTCCCAGGACGGATCCCTGTGGAACTCCTCTGGACACTGGGCGTACTTCAGATCTAACGGTGGTGATAGTCCTATTCCTGGAGTGGCTGAGTTCGACTAGCTGCGTTCGACCCTTCAGATACTGAGTAAACCAACCAAGAGCCGTTCCACATACTCCCAAGGAGCTAAGCTTTGAGATGATCAAGTCATGGCTCAGGCAGTCAAACGCCTTACTCATGTCAACAAAAATGCCGACAACGTTGTTACCACTGTCTATATCATCAATGACGGACTCTACGAAGTCAATAAGTGCCGTGGTTGTGGATTTTCCCTTGACGAAACCATGTTGTCTCTCTGTCAAGAGTTGATTAGAGAAAAGATGTTCTAATAGCCTCTGCAAGACAATCTTCTCCAGGATCTTCGAAAAGGTTGGAATCAAAGATATTGGTCGATAGTTCCCAATGTCAAGTCGAGTTCCTTTTTTGTGTAGGGGAGAGATCTTCGTTGTCTTCATGTTCGATGGGAAATTACCTTGTGTGAGTGATAATTGAATTACGTGAAGCAAGGGCAGCAGAAGCTCCTGTCTGCAGGATTTCACTATCCTAGCTGATATTCCATCTATCCCTGTTGATGATTTAGGTTTGAGGGAGTTAATCACTTCTAAGAGCTCCGTTTGGGATACCGGTTTGAGGTTGTGCATTGGAAAGACTACATTGTGTTTGTCAGTGCTAGAAACTCTGGTCGATCGATCTTGCTTTTTGGTTTCCTGGTTTTGGTTGTTCCTTATTGTTTCTTCAGCCACAGTTGCAAAGTAGTGATTAAACAAATTGGCAACTTCGACAGGGTCCTCCACTTCCCTTCCTTCGATTTGCAGTTTGACTGAGTTCGAGGAAACGTCACATCTGCTATTACGCTCGCAGTTGATGGTCTGCCATATGGCTTTGCTTTTGTTGACGGCTTGATTTATCTTAGATGCACTTATTTCTCTTCTAAGAGATCTAAGTTTAAGATCATAAGCCTTCTTCCGTTTAGAAGCTTCTTGTTTGTCCTGGATACAGTTGGTGAGCAAGAACTTTCTCTGAGCATCTAGAAACTCTTGTTTTAGGAGTCTAGCTTCGTGGTCATATTTTGCAGACATCTCGGGTTTGTGATTACGTCTAGACTTTTTCAGAGGACAAGTTACGTCAATGTTTTCAAGGAGTAACTGCATAAAGGAGTTGTATGCATCATCCACGGTAACAGAACTAAAGACAGCGTTCCAATTCTCCTCTGCAAGATTTAGCTTAAGATTGTGAAGATTCTTGGCGTTAATGTGTCTGCGGGTTGATGTATTAGTTTGTGTGTGCTCAGCAGGAAAAGAAAGATAGCACAGTTGTCCAGTATGATCCGAGATTGAAGCATTTAATATCTCCCAGATTATGTCTTTGCTGAAATTAGTACACACAGCATCAATAGATGTTTTGGTAGTAGGGGTAATCCTGGTTGCTGGTAGCTGCTCTCTTGTTAAGTTGTGGGATAATAAAAGGTCATTAAAAAGAGAGCAATCCAACGAAGGCTTCAGTCGGTCTATATTTACATCACCTATAAGTATAACTTTGGACCTGAATGTTGAAGGCAAAGAGTTCAAGGTGTCAGACAGGAGCCGAAAGGCTTCGTCAACAAGGTTACGATCCCTGTTAGGGGGGCGATATACACCAATAACAAAAAGCGATTTCCTGTCTTTGAGCTTGATTGACACACCCGAAATCTCACATACCAGAGGGATACTGCGGAGTTCCAAATGCAAGCTTGAGACATTCTCCATTGTATTTTTTCTGTAAATAGCTACCCCTCCTTTTGGAGTATCTTGACGTGCAAAAGCTGATACTAAGCAGTAGCCCATAAGCCTAGTGTTGAGGATCTCATCTCGGTTCTTCCCGTGTTCAGTTAAGACAACCAAATCTGGCGAGTAAGTATGGAGCAGATGATTAAGCCTTTCAATTTTGTTGGAGATTCTATCTACGTTTTGATGAAAAACCTTAAGTTTTCTATCCTTGGTTATCGGGTTTTGATGTGGAGTTACCGTTGTGTCGGCTTCCATCGACTTTTCCCACTCTGACCTCCGTCTAAAAAAGATCCACCAGCTGAAGTCAAACACGAAGCCCCCAAACGAGCACTTGCATCCAAGTTCCCGAGAGGCTGATTAGAATCTTGGCTCTTTGTCGTGATTGTGTCTATGTTGTCTGAGTTGGCACATTCTGGGCGAAGAGTAAGCTTAGTACCTATGGCCTGTCTTACTAGAAAATCCTTTAAGTGGTAGTTAAAAAATTCTTCCAAGCTTTCTTCCTTCCCTCTCACAACAGCAAATATTGGAGGGGATTTGCTAAAATTTACTGTTGTAGACGTGTCTTGAGGTTTAGGGTTCAACTCAACTGCATTTATACCACTAGCCAGTGGAGTTGGCTTTCTTTGAGTCTTAGCAGATAAACTTTCTTCGGGGCCACTCTTTAATTTATTAACATCACTCTGGAGTAGTAATATAGCATGCTCTAGTTCTAGGCACTTATTTCTAAGTTCATTCAATTCGAAATCAGTACAGAAGTTCTCCAAAACCGTGACGTCGTCATTTCCATCATCTTCTTTATTCATTGGGACAACAGGGTTTTGATTCGAGATTGCCTTGATTTTTTCCTTTTCCAAATTTTGTATTTTACCTTCCAAATCACGAATTGTTTGAACCAACTCAGTGTCGTTTTCCTCACTGCATTTTTGAAGCTGCCTAGAAATCACTTTTTCATTTTCCAATTGCTTATCCTTCTCTTCAAGAAACTATAACAGTTTCTCTTGCGCGTTAAGTAGCTTTTGATTTTCTTCTAAAACTTCTTCAATTTTGGCTTCTAGACTGAGCACAGTCGCTTTTAATTGTGAGTTTTCTTTTTGAAGCTCCGAATTTTTTTGCAGTAGGCTTGATCCGATCTGAGCAGTAACTGTTAGAACATTATCTATAGATGCATCACTTTTGGGTAAAATATCAATGTTAGAGCCATTAATGTCAAGGTCCTCCAGTGCATCACTCAGTACCTGCGAGTAATCCCCCAGTTCCTGATGTACATTAGAGGGTTCTTCGCAGTGAGGACAGTACCACTTTTCAAAGCCAACTACCTTCTTAACATAAAGATCAAAATCCTCCAGTGGCATTCCCATGCAGTTAATATGATACCATGTTATACAGGTACCCTCACACTGTATTCCATTTTCACCTTCAGACACATGTTTGTCACATAATGGGCAAATCTCAAATTCTTGTAAATTTGTTTGTAACTGTTTTGCCATGTTTCGAGTAACGGGCCTCATGATGCCTGAAGTAAGAATTGTTTTACTAAAAATTCTGATTTTTATATAGTACACGTCTTTAATGGAGATCTTGAAATCTAGAAGGCAGTGGGAGCGAAAAAAAATTGGCGTGGACTTGATGTAGACGTAATCAGCCGAAGTTGCAGACAACGGTTAGTGACATGACATGTGACTGAGGTTAGGGTAATTGGTTATGTTAGAGATTTAAGTCAAGTAAAATAAAAAGAGTACAAATTGTGAGGAAGCAGGTAGGTGAATTACACGACATTCAACTCACAACTCTTTTATGGTCAAAGATTGGATAAGTCCTTTTTGGGGTCGATTCTCCAAACACAAACCTCAGTCACTGTATTATGATCCAACTACGAACTTGCCGCCATTTTAGCGACCAGCCAAATGTTATAAGTACATGGTAACATTTACATATCTACAGATAAAAAAACTCAAAAAGTTTTTGGTGATATTCAGTAAATATCAATATGGCCACTATTAAGGCTCTGCCGGCATTACCCATGCAATGTTAATTCCATACCCGAGAAATGCAGCATAGGTGTGAGATGTGCTTATTTTGATTTAACGCCGGCATAGCCTTAATTGGTGGCCATATTGAGATTTATTAAATATCACTCAAAACTTTTTTAGTTTTTCTATCTATAAATATGTAAATGTTAACATGTAGTTAGGATTTTGTAAGTACAAATTTATGTTAAAACGTGCCAGTTCTTTTTGGACCCTGTATTTCATAACTTGCTTGGATTCTGATAAATTAGCAGTTTTGTATGGAGTATGTTTTTTTTTTTTTTTTTTTAAGCTAGAATATTTCTTACTCTTTTATCCCACTAAAACGTATAATGAAGTCTTATAGATGTAAAAAATGTGTTTTACCCTGGTTCTTCCTTTGACTTGTAACTGCTCTAAAATACTTGATGATTTAAACTTAAGTAAAGGGTTTGTGTACGACATACATTGTAGGGCAAAGCTGCATTATGGCTGAATGGTTAGACACTCTCCAGTTTTTTTACCCATAGGCCTACCTATGTAATCTCGTACAGTAGAACCTCTTTAATCCGAACTAATTGGGACCGGGGGCAATTCGTACTATTGAATGGTTCGGATTACAGAACATATTGTTGTTTTTTACATAACAATAGCTAGGGAAAAGTTAAAAATGCTTTATAAAGTAAAATACAGTGTTTATTTAATACAGTAGTAAACATAGGGAATAAACAGTACTGTACATTACAATTGAAATAATTACGGTGCGTATATCAATAAATACAGTATACAATAAAGAACTACTGTACTGTGTATAGAGTACAGCAATGAGGCGTTTGGATTAGTAGACGTTTTGATTATAGGGGTTCGGATTATAGAGGTTCGGATTAAAGAGGTTCTACTGTACTATTATCAGAGTAGAAAATATGAAAGTTTTAAAATCTAACAGAGAATAATTTTGCTGGTGGCATACTTTGTGAGTGGCTAATTCTATTGGGTTCTATTTCAATGAAAAATAAATTACTGATGGAATGTCTACCCCAGAATCCAAGTCCATGGTCTGTCTTAGGTATCACAATTTAGTTCAATTGTTTATGGATGTTCTCTATTTTAGATACACAGACGAAAAATTTGAATTGATGAACAATTTCAATGTGCCGAGATTTGATTGTCCAGAGCTTGTCATGGACGGAGATGATTACAAGAAGTGGCTGGAGGTTTGGTTTTCTGTAAGTATTGAATGTGTTTGTTTTTCTACTTGTTTTTGTAAACTAAGTGTTGGAATTGGTAAATATTCAGTTAGTTTCAACACTATTAAGTCAGTCAATTGCTTCGCAACAAGGGCAAAAAACTAGAATAATGAGGGTCTCTAAATCTACTGTAAAAAATAGCTGCACACACTTACAAAACAAATTATACTTATTTTAATGTAAATCTCTTGTGTATTTGTATTAAACTGTGTGGCAAAATCAAAACTAATAACTTTATTGTAATGTGACCATCTATAATGAGAGGCAAAAGGTTATCTCGGGGGTAAAGTAAAGACAATAAATATATAAAAAATCTAACAGCTGATGTATCTTCAATATTTTGAGTAAAATTAAATGCAGCCCCTTAATTGAGGTTCATTCCCTTAGAGGGTTAATCGAAAAGCTGATAATTTAGGGGAAGTTTCTCTTCAAGGCCTTTCTTTCGAGTACGCGATTGATATGTGTGCGGCTTATGTTTCTCTCAAAAGGTTGTGATCCTTATTATCAGCTTTATGTATAGATTTCAAATGTGTTTTTACTGCTCTGGTTCCTCTCTTTAATTGTTAGGTAATGATAAAGAAATCACGTGTTTTTTTTATTACTAAACCTGGAAGATTCTATTTGTAGTAACTTATTCACACTCAGATTGACTGTTTTTGAAAATAACTTCCAAACAATTTTTTAAAATGTGTGGTTAAATTCATCTATAATGTTTGGAATGTTAAAACAATCTGCATTCAATTTATTTTGAATGCATTAGCATTATTTTGTATGTTTTTACATAATTGGAATTTATTTATGTATTTTTGTAAGAGGCTCAAATGCTGGAGTTTTCACTATGTAACGTTAGTCTAGTCAGTTAGCATCATTAATTAATTGATAACATATCATTATGGCATCTGTGTCCAATAGATCCTTTGGATCGAACCACTAACCTTCAAATTTGATGTGTTATACATAAGCACTCGTTAAATATATATACAACAAGTTATATAGACAAGTTATTACCCATAAGTTTTTGTTAACTATGTAATTTTCATGATTTCAGGCCCCTGGAATGAAATATGAGAAAGGCTACAACCCAGTGAAAGGAGATTCGAATATTCTTTTTAAGATCAGGGACCAAGCAAAATTCTCTTTCCACTAAAGAGAAACTCCCCTGTGTCATCAATACAAGAAATAAAATGTTAGATTTGTTGGAGTTTATACACTGTATCTAAAATGTAAAATAGAATAAAACACTGTAAAATTAATGTTTATTTATTACTTTGGATCCAGATTAGAAAAATTGTGTTTCGTTACTTTTTAGTTCGTTTTGGTTAAGTGTGGTTATATATAGTTAGTTTGCCTCCAATGCTGGGAGTTAGTTGTAATATAAATCTTGGGTTCCTAACCTCCAACTTCCAAAACTGCAGTTTTCCAGTGGATCACAAAAAACTGGGGCAAAAGATGAGTAACCAATAATATGTTTTTTTTATAATCGACTACATTTATTTCTTCGTGAGAAAAGTTAATACACCAAATGATAACCACATATTGATCACCACAATAAATTTTGCATTATAATTAATTAGAAAAACAATTTTTATTATATGGCAATGCTGAAACAGTTTGGAAAGTTTCTGTGGTGAGAACACAGGTTAGAAGCTTGGTCTTTGAGGGATGAGGTGATTGCTTCATGCTTGTTTCAACTAGTTGTGGGACTTGCTTTGCTTGCTGACATGACATTTTTGATACTGTAGTGTAGATTGCTTTACATCTTCAACTGCAGGTTGTAAAAGGTGACGCAGAAGTGTTGTTGCTAGAAACTTTAGGAATGTTGTCTGGTCCTTCCTTTTCAAGATGCTGCATTATGTTCAGCCGTGTTTGTTGTTCTATTCCTGTTATTACTAGGATTTTCTGGGCTACATTTACAAATATTGTGTAATTTCACTGTTCAACAGGTTAAAATGGTGCACAGCATCATAAGATGGATATTATAAAAAAATATTCCAATATAGTTTACACATAAAGGTGGATGAAACCAGCGAATCTATATAAATAAAAATGAATCCCTTTTTTATGGTATTCCATAACTCGAGAACGAATTAACCGAATTGGATGATTCTGTTTTTGATATGTTCCTTAGTGCCAGGGGAAGGTTTTTATGTAAGGAAATTTTGAGTGAGCGTAGCAAACGAACTTCAACCTGGACGTGATTGAGCGATGCGAACGAGCTCATCTTGAAAATGAATGATCATTTATTCATTTGACATAAAACCACATTAGGACAGGACAATGTCCGTCGGGCCAGCTAGTATAGAATAAATTTGGGGGGGGCCAAGATGAATGTAAGGTTAGGTTATGTAATGTTAAGTAGATTAGTATAGTGTTTATCTCAGTTTTGTGCCCATATTCAGACGGTAATTTGCGCTGAATGCCACTTTTACTTTACTGAGATCACGCTTCTCTATTGTTGACTTTAGGTCATAAATTATATCCATTACAGTACTGATGTTTTTCTCGACATTTATTTTTATTTTTGCAGCCCCCCTGCGGCACTACCTGAAAAACCTTTGTGAGATCAAAGTAGCCTGATTAAGTAAAAAATAGTAAATTTTAGTCGGTGTCAAGTTGAGAATGTATGTTAGAAAAATAAAGCATTTGGTACCGTAATAGATCTGAATGGTATTTCATATTTAAATTTTCTATTTGATTTTACAAAGTTCATCCCTGATATTTTTAAGTAACTGGCCCCTTCATCTATGATACCACTACACACACACTTACAGCTCTGTATAACTACAATCATACCAATGGTTTGAAGGGACTATTTATAACTGGAAAAATATGTCTTGACTGAAAACTGTAGGCCTATTCTAATAAACGGTATTAGCAACTCTTATCACAGGTAAGCTGTGAGAGAAACTATTTTTAAGGGAAAATCAAAAAAGTTTCAATAAATTTTGAACCATAATAATACTGTATTTACATCATTTTAGTGTTGTAAAATTTTGTTTACAGTTAGAAGGACTATAATGTAACACCAAAGTTTAATCAAAATCGTTGAAGCCGTTTTAGCGAATTTCCCATATAGGGAATAAGCTATTACCGTGTAGTACTCATGGTAAGACCTGGACCCGGGACCGATTTACTTTTTCCTTTTGAGGTCCCTAGAGGCCAAAAACACCAACCGTTCAAATTCATATATTAAATACCCCCGCCGCAGCAAACCTGCAGACTAAGCAAATTTCCATTTGCCTGAAAATTTCTCCTTAAAAATATCAGATTTATTCCCTATTTAAATAGATTAGTTTAATATGAGTACTGTACGTAGGTTTACTGCAACATTGAGGGTAAACGTGTTTTTTTTAATAGTTAATAGTTTAGTTTTTTAATATTTATTTTTATTTTATTTTAATAGTTAAGTAATACTATTGACTATTGGATACCTTATTTTTCGTTACTGACATAGTTGCTGGGTCACAACAGTTGCTATAGCTCATAATAAGTCATTCCATCAGTTTGACTTGGTAAAAACTATCATGTAATCGGCAGAAATCAGTTATTTAGGTCAGCGCAATCTGTAGGTGGCTCACATCAACTAAGACAAATTTTATTAAAAACCTGGCTACAACTTTAACATGGGAATGTATGTCTAGTTGTTGTATTAATAGTCAAAGGTAATACTAATAAATAAAGTGTTTTCCAAATTTGATCAAAATATGTTCATAAACAAGCAAACTACGGTACCTACAAGTTTACTTATACGCCATAAGAATAACATGGGAATTTTAAATTTACCATTTTTTGGAATATTCTGCGTAACCATTAGGCGCATAGAAACCCTTCAATATACCAATTTTTTTTGTTTTTTTTTCATAAAAATTGATTGGAAAGAAATTGCTACATTTGATGTTTTTTGGGTCAAAAATGGTAAAAACCAATTTTTACCCCATAAGACCCCCCATAAAACTTCATTCGCATAGTCCGAACATGCTGGTTCGCCAACTCATTCGAGTAAAAATGTAGGGTTACATGTTTATAGCAAATTTCGTCGAAATCGGAGGATTTTTGGCTCGAGTTATGCTATATTAGCAAATAAATGTGATATTTTTAAGGAGGCATTTTAGTGTAAATCCAATTAGGCAAATGGAAATTTGCTTAGTCTGCAGGTTTGCTGCGGTGGGGGTATTATTATTTTGATTTATTATTATTATTATTTTTTTTTTAAGCAGATTTTCCTCTATTTTAAGTGTTTTTATGGGATGAATCACAAAAGCTGCAGTCACTTTTGAACCCTAATTTTTACACCAATTAAGGTAGCATTTTGTTAAGAGTTAAGGACTCATTTTTTAACCCTATTTTTTAGCCTACAGCAATTAGGGTCGCAAATTTTTTTTTATGTAAAAGAGGACTATAAAATACTAAATTTTAATAAAACCGGTTGAGCGGTTTTTTATGAGATTTTTCTGTTACCTATATTGTGGGTTTTTCATGGGGGAAATCACAAATTTTGCAATAGCGTTTAATCCTAATGGGGTTTGAACCAGATAAAGAGCTATAATTATCATTCTAAAATAAGCCAAAAAAATCAAGATAAAAATCAGATTTTTCAGTTATTTTATGGGTTTTTACGGAAAAATCACCGTTAAAAATAAAATCCTGGGTATAAAATGGATTAGTACCTACATTACCAAATTCCATCAAAATCGGAATATTGACTACGAAAATATTGACTCCACTTCAAATGCGCATAGATTTAAATTTTCAATTCATATTGATTTGGTTTTCAGTTGTGTATGTTTTATTTTTAATATTTTAATACATTTATATTAAAAAATTTAAATCAATAAAGTGCGAATTAATGAGCTGATGTCACCTGTCTGCCATGTTATCTTATGGGACACGTCTAACACTAACACTAAACAACCCTACTTAATTGCAACGTTGCCAATTCTACATGGCCGTTGCCTGGGGCCCATTTCATAATAAAGTACAAACTAATATTATTAGTAAATCAGCTGATCGCCCAATGCAAATATAATGGAAATTACAGGTTTCAAGCTATAACTTGTTTGAGCTGGACCATGCTTCGACCAGCTATCTACGCTTCTACCCCATCCCACGTCTGATGGGCTCCGGGAACGAAATATGTTCGTCGGTCGACTTCTTCGCTTCCAGTTTGGTGGCTGTTAGGCGAGTGGCAGCAGAGGAGCGAGTCGAACAATGATAGTTTCTTTTTGTTTTTTCTGTTATCGATATATATTGCATGTTATCTCAAATCATTAGTATTGTTGTTAGTTAATTATTTATTATTGTTGTTAATTTAATTATTTATTATTGTTGTTCATTTCTTTATTATTACTGTTACGCATTTCATTGTCTATTGTTGTTATCAATTTCGTTTTTATTATTGTTAATCTAGTCATAAGCACAAATATTCACTGTTGAAGCTGACAAACTACTGATTATCTTTGTAAATTGGTGTTTTGCCGTTGGTAAATAAATAAAATAAAAACTTGTAACTTGTAGTTTATTATGAAATGGGCCCCTGGATGGTGGCCGTGAAATTACAGTATTGACTATCTCAATGCATCTAAAGTCCAGGGGCCCTATTTTTGAAATGGTTGACAGTTGAGTCAATCGTCAGCACTCAACTCAACCAACAACATGATTTTGTATTTTTGAAACCCAACAGTTGGGAAGCGAGTTGGGAATCACTAGTTGAGAGACTCGTGGTGGAAATGTAGAGCATACGACCGTCAAAAATTCAGATGACGTCATTTTGAACCAATCACAATGCACTAATGCAGAGTTCGCGGACTTCGATTTGATTTAACCTCTTCTTACTCTAAAATTTGGCAGCTAATCTCAATCTGCCATATTTCGAGACACTGAGGTAAACTGTCAACTCCGTTTTTGAGAGATTGAGATTGAGGTTATGTCTTGCTTAATCTTAGTGATTGCAAAGTACCTTAACTTAAGTAATAAACTAAAGTAAACTAAATAAAGTAATAAACTTAAGTATAAAAAATAAAATTTACTATGGATGTTTGTTTTAGGGTGTAGCTAGTTATAAGTTTAGGCATAGGCTGCACTTTACTTTAGGTCCTACACTCATCCTAAATACATTATTATTTACTTTCTTCGTCTCTATTTCGGAACACATCACCTTATTTTAGTTTCCTTCATCGGTTTGTTTTATGTTAATTTTAATTGTTTTTTATTTAGGTCAAAGCGGCTATTTGCCATTGCACTGGAAGCATATCGTAACTTAAATTAATTTGATCCCTTTATTAGGTGAATAGTATTGAAACAAACTATGATATTGTTTCTCTCTACCACAATCTTTAATACCTTTAATCATAGGCCTAATAACAATAATTATCTTATAATAAGTTCAATTAGTATGCCTAGTCTATTTCAAACATTCCAACAAGAATAAAACCCTTGATTAAATAGTCTAGTATTGACACAGTAAATAAAATTAAAATGCGATTATTCTACAGAAAACAAACGCATAATTGGGTATGCTAATACATTGACAACAAATACATAACCTCTAAATCGCAATTAATTAGTAAATTAAAGCAGTAACAAAACAATATGATGGCGTCGTCTCAAAAAGAGTAATTTTTTGCCGAAAGAGAGGAAGAAGAAAGTGCAGTCAACCTCCACTCAACAGCTCGATAGGTGTTGAGTAGTTTTGGTTGTATAAGTCCACCGTCAACCGTTTCAAAAATACGAAACGATTGGAAATAGAATGACTCGACACTCAACTCAACAGTCAACCATTTCAAAAATAGGGCCCCAGCTTCAACAGTGTTTTTGTTCATTAATTCAAATCTGTACAAAACTGGATGTAAATAGTTTAACCGTGGTTTAACTCTTATAAACTTCAATAAGACAAACATTAAAAAAGTCAAGAATGGCTAGAAAAAGCCAGGACCAGGCTTTTGAACTATGAGTACTATAGCTTAATAGATAAAACATAGTCCATAGATAAAGCATAGTGTTTTATCTATGGTACTATCATAGATAAAACATGGTACTGTTTAGGGCTTGCCCATTGCCCAATGCCCACGGCCACCATTTACCAGATAATTTACATAGTGAGGAACACAGAGGATACGCGTCCGGTAACCAGACGTGGATTAGGCGTCCGGTAGTGACGTCACCGGGTTGTGGGGTCCCGGAACGCCATTACCACAACGATACGATGTTCGGTCAGCGTTGTTCGTGGTGTAGTGGATAGAGTGCTCGGCTGATATCCTAGAGGTCCCTGGTTCGAAACCCATCGGTTTCTTTAACTTTTTGTCACAGATTTTGCTTTGAATGTAATTTCTTCTTAACTGTACATCTTTTGTTAGAATTTTTGGCATTTATAATTTTATGTTATGAAGAGAATTGAACCTTCATTTGATTTTTTAACTATCAGCAAGTTTGGTTGGTTAGGTTAGGTTAGGTTATGACAGTAACTGCCGGACGCCTAATCCACGTCCGGTTACCGGACGCGTATCCTCTGCGAATAAGGAATTCCCCATCCTCTTTGCTTTCATCCTGCGCTCCTGAAAACTGAAAGATAACTCTCTGTATCTGTTCACTGAAGTCTCTTTCCAGATAGAAAAAGTAGATATGATGGTTCCTTCAACTTCAACTGGAACTGGAACACTGGATACGATGTGACAGCTCAAGGTCATAAGTGTTTATTGTGAATTTTAGTTAGTTGAAGGTTAGGTTTCTTGTACTTTGACTTTGTGTTGTTGCATGTCTCTCTTCAACTCTACTCTAAAGTTGAGATAACGTTAACTAATCATGGGGTCAACTCGAAACGCTCTTTTCGTAAGTTATAATTCCCGTTATCTTAGTTTATCATAACTTATTCACTTATGAAACAAAATGTCATCTCGCCAGTTTCCTTATCTTAAGTTTCTTCCACATCGATCAAATGACAAATACAAACCATTTAATACTGTGGTTTGGTTTTACACATACAATTAATTACTTAATGTGCTGTATTAATAAAGTCCCATACATAGTTAAGTTATAAGCTAGTTACAGGTAATAATATTCTAGTGATGTTTCAATGCCACATTTTGTTAAGTAAGGCCTACTCATTAGCTAAGATACTTGAATTTAACACCACAAATCAAGGTTTTAGTAAAATCTAACATTTACCATACACACACAAAACCTGTTCATCTTATATTTTCTTGTGCTGTCTTTCTGTCAAAGTCAGTTTTTTTGTTGAACACAGCTGCATAAAACAAAGTTCTAATAATAACTGGACTTTACCTTTCGTGTACTTGCCAAAGGTCACATTGTACAATCTGACACAAACTCATCTTAAATCAGTCAAATCATAACAGTGTAACGGTGAATACTTAAACTTGCACATTTAATTTGTGTTTTTAGTTTGTCTTCAATAACAAATATCGAATCCAGGCTTAGGCCTAAAAGCCAGTAATAACCTCACTTAGATTTTGATGGAGCAGTTAGATGTGCCTGAGAAAAAAGAAGTAAGTAGGCCTAAAATAACTTAGGCTAAATCTTTAAAAGCTAAACTTGTCATTGTCATACGTCACTGAGAATTAAGTTTTATGTTAAATATTAGGGTGATTGGTACTTTTTCATTCTTTTATAAAGAAGGGTTGAGGGTGTGAATATTTTTTCACTATTAAGTATTGTGGTTTATTTCAACGCCAGTGGGATTATGATTGAAGATAGGCTAAGCTATTTTATTGTCAGATCATAAAAAGTAGGCCTACAATACCGGTAGGCCTAAGTTACTTAACTTTTTTTTATAGAAAACAACAAAGCGCAGGTTAGACCTACATCACTAAACGTTATGAATTTTTTCAACTTTGTAACTTACAACATTGTACAAATGTTGTAGACAAAGAGGTTTTAAGCCAATTCAAACAAAATGATTTTTTAGATACCTATTTTCTTTTGTATCGGAGAATAAGAATAAGAATATTTATTTTCCGACAGATTACATGCATTTGGAATCGTCAGTTAAACAAGGCATAATGATCACAAGGCATTCACAAGGCAAATTCAATATCAATCAACATGCTTCTACAAAACTCTCAAAAATTCTACAATAAATAAATAAATATAAAATAATAAATAATCACTGTATGTTCACAACTAAAAAACTTAAAGATGCAAGGTCTAATTACACACGCAAGTCAAATAAATATCACATATCAAGAGTCAAAATTTAAAAAAAGGTAAAAACTTAAAAATAGGTACTTACGGATGCCGCTGGTATATTAAAAAAATCATTCCAGGAATACAGTGGGTTGGCCATTGGAGTAGAGGTGTCTGGAATTATGCTAGCCAATCCTATATTTAGTGTCACCAAAGCAATGTCCTCAGCATAAGTTACACCTGATTTTTATGCGAAAACAGGATTTTAAGACCATGTGCTGGATTAAAAAGGATGCGGGATAAAAGAATATTTTCCATACCCGAAAAACAGGATTTTGGTTTTATTCCTGTGGAGACATGCTCAGCATTTAAAATCTTCCTGGATTGTCCATGAGGAATATCGGTGGTGTAAACATTATATATAACTTGAGCAATCAATCAAAATAATCAATTATTTGAAATGGGGATACGTATATTTTAACCTGAATATGAGTGAAGTATGAGTGTAGAATCGTGTGAGATGATTTGTGTAGCTTTGTCACTGAGATCAGCTGGTTCATCAGTCAGGATCATTTATTTAAAGCTAAATGATTCGGAGCAGCTAGGTCCGGTTTTTTGTACCATCAAAAACCTAGTCTAGAGACTGACATATACGGTTCTCCGTATCGAACCGGCGGCGATTTGATTGTTAGGCAAGCACTGCTGACAGTCATAGGCCAGTGTAAGCCAAGTACAGCAACCAACATCCTTTATTTGGGTAGACTTCCGTATCTGTAGTATCTGTTGTCAAAAACATCTGAATGAAAATATTGATCTATATATCGATTGATTATTTCATTTGATATATCGTTTGGTAGGTTAAGTTAACCTTACCTAACTAACCAAACGATATATCGAATGAAATAATTGACATATCGAATAATTTCTCATTCGGTTGTTTTTGACAACAGATATGGAAGTCTACCCCTTTATTTTCCTGTAAAACAAACTGTCAATGAATGTTGTTACAAGAATTTGGTTACCTACATTAATTACGACCAGGCTTGAAATCAGCTTATTCAGCTGGGATACTAGGGTTAAAAATCTTGGATTCTTTCCAGTATGCTTTAAAAAATTATGGGACAAAGAAATCCCAGCAGCTAATCCATCATATATAGGATGTATATAGGACACAAATAATTATAGCTCTTCTGGGAATACCATGACATATGTTTGTTACTTTTTTCTGGGAACACCGTGACATATGTTAGTAAATTACCTATAATTATTTTTAAATTAACATATGTTCAATAATCTGGCTACTGTACTTTAGTTTAGGCCTACTCTTAGTCCTAAATTATAAACTGTCTTCATCATTTAGTTTCTTTTTGCTTCAAGTTTATTAAGTTTATGTGATTAAAAACTATGACACCAAAGTACAATATTGTTATGGTGGTAAACAAAATAGTTTAGTTGTAAAATTAGTTTGGTCTGATTTATCTACTATGACCTGTATCCATGGATTCAGTATAATTTTTAATGTTTTGTTTATCATCAACTAAATCAAATATATAATTACAATTTATTAAAAAACATTTTTGTACTTCAAATTTTTGAACATGTTTCATCATATTGATGATGTGTGTTATGCCAAAGCAAGAGGGGACGCTTTTTTAATATGGAATCATATAAAAGTAAGTAAAATCATCATCCTAAGCTCGTTTTAAAGTACAGTACAGTTATTTGTTGAATTTTATGTTTAATTGTTTTAGAACCATTTTAATTAACCCAACTTATCATTACAAGTTATGAATGACTCATGTGCTCATAAACATCCAATTTCATTAATGTATTTATCAGTTTTAGCGAATATCCCTATAGGGAAGTAGCTAATACCGTAGGTGGCACGGTAAGACCTAGGTCCGGGACCGATTTACTTTTTCATTTTGATGTCCCCAGAGGCAAAAACACCATTCGTTCAATATATCAATATATAGAGTTAGAGTTATATATGTGTCCGTGAACGAGATAACTTGAGTAATTTTTGTAAAGGTGTAAGGCGGGATAAACTTGGATGAGTTAGCGAACCAGCATGATCGGACCATGGGAACGGGGTTTTACGGGGTAAATGTTGGTTTTTCTCATTTTTGGCCCCCAAAACACAACTTTTCTCAACTTCTCTCTAGACCTTTAGAGCTTAAAAAAACAAATAATTTAGTAGGCCTATATCAAAGTGTTTTTGTGCGGTTATTGGTAACGGAGAAAATGTAATTTTCCCATGTTATTCTTAAAGAGAATATTGTAAAATGTTTTAGTTCGCCTGTTTATGGATATATTTTTATCAAACTTGGCAAATCTATTAATTTTTTACTAAGCTATTAATATTTTACTAAAAACCACAATTTATTAGTTTCCTTGTAGCAGCTAGGTACTCGTTAAACCTAATGTTATTTAAATAGATTTAATTGAAAATCAATTTAGACAAATGGAAATTCGCTTAGTTGGCAGGTTTGCTGGGACGGGGGTATTACAAAATTACGGTATATTTAAAAAAAATAAACACATTTTTCAGATGATATGATTCAGTTGTATGGAACTAATTGCAACATTTTATTATCAACTTTAAATATTCTATCAGAAGTGTAATCTCATACTTCCCATATTCAAAATAACAGTCAAGTTATTTAAATAACTTGTATTTTTTTAACTAGGCAATTAATAGGCCTAGCATATAATTTCTTTGCTATCTTACAAACAAAATTCAAACATATGCAAAATTTGACTACGGTTAATAACATTTTTATTAACTCCACTTTACAAATTTGTCTGTGAGTATAGTTTTTGTATATACATAATTGAGTTAAGTCATATGCTTAACATTAATACACTTGCTTGCAAAAACTTAATATATTCTACTATTTTGATCGTGATCTTAAACATTTTATAAAAGTAGGTGTAGGTGAAGTGAAAGCTAGTGTCAAAGTCGTCATTTGCCCCAGATAACCCTGGTGATAGCCTTAGTCGATGGATAAGCTTGTGTTTTCAACTATGGTTCTGCCAAGACCAACATAGTACACTCTAGTTATTGCAAATTAAGGCTGTGTTGTGAATAACTGAACCTTTTTAGAAAATAAGGCTTTAATAAACTTAAATTCTTACATAGCTGGAAAGGTAAACAAATCTCTAATACAAACAAGTAAATAAATACTTCAGCTGATTACTAGAGACAGGAATTCATAACATTCTCCCCCTCAAAATTTAAACAATGTAATCAGCGAGGTAACTTGGTGGTTTTCTTGATCTTTTCGGCCTTTCTATAGGTTGGTTTTCTTCAGAGTCTTGTTCAGGAATGAAGTTTGGTTGATTATCATCATTTGGATAATCATCATAGTCTTGAATATCAAATGGAGTGACATTCTGTTCTGGGTTCACATTTGGTTCTGGATTGATGTTCGGCTCTGGAATGACATGTGGTTGTGATTCATCTGTCACCAGTTGAGGATTATCTTTTAGCGTTGGAAGGCCTTGGTTTTCTAGTAGACTTACATCCCCCCTTGGAGATAGGTGCTTGAGGGATACAGTTGACTTTCTTCCATCATTGTGTTTAACCAAGGCATAATGAGGATTAGCATCCAACAGCTCGACTTCCTCAACTAAAGGATCAAATTTTGATGGTCGAACATTTCTTTTTAAGAATATCGGTCCTGGTTTCATGAGCCAAGCTGGTAGTGAGGTGCCATTGAGGGATCGCCGAGGATGAATGAAAAACCTTTCATGTGGTGTACTATTAGTCGAAGTGCACAAAAGAGATCTTATGGAGTGCAATGCATCATTGAGTACAACTTCCCATTGTTCTACCTTTAGTGACCTGGACTTCAGAGCTAACAAGATTGCTTTCCACAATGTTCCATTGAACTTTTCAACTTGGCCATTTCCTGCTGGATTATATGGAGTTGTTTGACTGGTGGCTATTCCTCTTTCATGAAGGTAGTCTCTGAGTTCTTTTGAAAGAAAAGATGTCCCTCTGTCTGAATGAATGTAGTTTGGCATTCCAAATATTGAAAATAGATTTTCTAAACAGCGAACTACTGTGTTTGAGGACATATCACTGCATGGATATGCAAAAGGGAAGCGTGAATATTCATCGATTATTGTCAATAGATATCGATTTCGTGTGCAAGATGGCAAAGGACCCTTAAAATCTACATTAAGTCGCTCAAAAGGTTTTGTGGCCTTGATAAGGTGAGCATTTGTAGTTTTATAGAAACGAGGTTTAATCTCTGCACACATTGGGCATTTGTTTGTCATTGTTTTAACATCCTCAACCGAGTAAGGAAGGTTTTTACTTTTTACCCAGTGGTACATCCTAGTGATTCCAGGGTGG